AATAAGAATTTATTGAAAATTAATAAAGATTAAAGCCATTAAAAGAATAAGATTAAGCTGAATCAGAAGAGTAAAAAAAAATAGAATAACTCAGGGGAACACCAATGATGTATTAAAATTTAATAATTTCAAAGTGTTGGAACATTAGAAGAATTTGTAAATGAAAATCATGCTATTGTATCGTCTTCTGTTGGTCCAGAAAGTTATTCAGGAATCATGAGTTTTGTTGATAAAGATTAATTGGAGCCAGGATGTTCTGTTCTTTTGAATTAAAGATGTAAATTAATCCTTGATTTATTAAAATAGCTTATGCAGTTGTTGGTATAATGCAAGATGAAATTGATCCACTTCTTAATGTTATGAAAGTTGACAAAGCTCCACTTGAATCTTATGCTGATATTGGTGGTCTTGAATAATAGATTTAAGAAATTAAAGAAGCTGTAGAACTTCCATTAACACATCCTGAAATCTATGAAGATATGGGAATAAAACCACCAAAAGGAGTTATTTTATATGGAGAACCAGGAACTGGAAAGACTCTTTTGGCTAAGGCTGTTGCCAATGAAACTTCGGCAACATTCTTAAGAGTTGTTGGATCAGAATTGATATAAAAATATCAAGGAGATGGTCCTAAATTAGTTAGAGAATTATTTAGAGTTGCAGAAGAGCATGCTCCTAGTATAGTTTTCATTGATGAAATTGATGCTGTTGGTACTAAAAGATATGATTCACATTCTGGTGGTGAAAAAGAAATTTAAAGAACAATGCTTGAATTATTAAATTAATTAGATGGTTTTGATTCAAGAGCAGATGTTAAAGTTATACTTGCCACGAATAAGATTGAATCTCTTGATCCAGCATTGATTAGACCTGGACGTATTGATAGAAAAATAGAATTTCCATTACCTGATGTAAAAAATAAAAAGAAAATCTTTTAAATCCATACTAGTAAAATGAATCTAGGAGAGGTTTCTTATTTTAATTATTATATTTAGGATGCAAACTTAGATGAATTTATTAATGCTAAAGATGAATTATCTGGAGCTGATATTAAAGCTATGTGTACAGAAGCAGGTTTACTAGCTCTTAGAGAAAGAAGAATGAAAATAAAATAAGAAGATTTAAGAAAAGCTAAGGAAAAGATTTTATATTTGAAAAAAGGAAATATTCCAGAGGGTCTCTATATTTGAGATAATTCTATAAATACATATTTATCAAATATCAAAATCATCATCAATAGGTTTTTTAGAAGTTTTTGCTGTCTCTTATGTACTTTCAGCATTCATAGGTTTGTATTTTAATTAGAATATTTAACTTCTAGTACTACATGAAGTAAATGGTTTAACTCTTTGCATATCATTCAATTTAGATTTAATTGATTATCTACTTAATTATCTATAGTCAGTTGAATCTGCACTGACAGGATTAGGTAGATATTACACTTAATGAATAGGATTTAATTCTACATGGACATGAGTCCTATCAAAAATTGGTCTACTAAATTCACCTCCAACTACTTTTGTTGGTTAAACATATAATACTTTTTTCCTGGATGATATAAAATATTGTACTATTAGAGTCGTTAATATTTTTCAACTTAAGATTCTTCATGCTCTATATGATGGTATGCCTTGAATTCCTCAAAATAAGTAGGAACTCCTGGTGCATAACTAAAAGGTTATCCTGGATAATGTTTAAAGTTTCTCTTCTTAAAATCTTGCCAATATTATTTTTTATTAGGAAAATCGAATTCTTTCAACCATCTTTTGGTTTTATCATAAGTATTTAACACAGTGTCTTCCTAAAATAAAGAAGATTAATACAGGAAATTTAAGTATAGGGAATTCAGGTTAGAAATATTCCAGAGCTTTGTTTGCTTTTCTAAAATCTTCAGAGTGATGTACTGTTCCATCAGATTTAAGCATTCTGTCTCTCTTAATATCATCAATTCTTTGTAATATTAGAGATTTTCTTTTTTCAACGCTATATTATCTAAATTCTTTTTATTATTATTTTAATATTGATAGTATTTAATCTTGGTTTAGTGATACTTCTTTTAACTCTATTACTTTTTTTTCAGTTGCATTGTTTCCTTACATATTTACTAAATTTAGTTTATTAATATATATTAATATTAATTAATATTTGTAAGTGGAACATAATCTCTACAATATCAAGATTAAGTAATATTTCACTTAAATACATTTTATGATAAAAACTATGCTAAATATCAAATAAAAAAAATGGAAGTATAAGATACTAGTCGTTTTCAAATAAATAATTAATATGTAATATATACTTTTTATTTATATGTTTATCATTATCTGATATCATTATTTTCCGTATTCCTTTTGGGTCATTAGATTGTAAAAATCATCAAAAGTAACAAAACCATCATCATCTAAATCTGCCTTTTTGAACATATGTTAGATCTCTTCATCTGTCATTTCTTCTCCCAAATCTTATGCTACTCTTTTTAATTCATCCCAGGTGATGCGACCTTACAATATTAATTACTTTTACCTTCCTTATTCCAATCATAAAGATTAAAGACTTTTTGGACTTGCTCTCTAGTATCTTTATCACTAACCTTTGCTGTAGCTAAATGCAAAAATTCTTCAAAATCAATTCCTCCACTATTATCAGTATCTAATTCTCCCAATACTTAATAAATAAATTTATTGTGGTAGGTTTTGATTCCTGAAGCTTCAAAGGCCTCTCTTAATTCTTATGGATCGATTGATCCAGATCCATCATTATCAAAAATGTCAAATGCTTATTTTACTTCCAAAACTTCCTCCTTTGTTAGATGAGGTGGTTTGGCATAATCTTCAGCATTAAAAACTTTAGGTCCTTTTTTAGATGGAGGGGGAGGAGGAGGAGCCTTCTTGGGATCAACTTTTTAAGCAGAGGATGGAGCCTATCTAGACATTTTATTTATTTTTATTTATATTATAATTAGATACTAAGGGAAGAATTTATATATGATTTGAAATTTATTGCTTGTTTATATTAACATCTTTGATTTTCATATTTCTTTATCTATTAGTTAAATTCATAGAACTTAAAGATTTTAATCAAGTACCTTTTGCAAATATTCAAAATGGACAGAAGAAGAAATGCATTCGATTTTAAAAAGTTGAATTAAATTTAATTCTGTTCTTCTGTTACAAATTCAATATTTCAAAAATACCATTTATTTGAGATTGTAAGATCATTTTAAATAAAGGTGGTAATTAGATACAATAATTCTTTTAAAATTAAAACTAGAATATAAAGAACATATTCATTAAAACTAAAGTGAAAATTTATAATATTGATACTAAATTCTTAACTTTTATTTTAAGTGAGTAAAATAACAAATAACTAAAATGGAAACACATAGTAGCATACCTAATTATGAAATTACAAGGGTTATTGGTTCAGGAGCTTTCGGTAAATAGTTTAAATTAATTCAAAGGATATGTTTTCGAAGCATTTGATACAAAAAGAAGCTAAAAAGTAGCTCTAAAAAGAATGCAAAAAGTTGGTAAAATATCAAGCAGAGAATGTGATATATTAAGGCAATTATAATCTTGTCCTAATGTTGTTAAATTGATAGTAAATTTAATGAAATAGTAAGGATGTTTTCTACAGCAGAAGTGAAGATAATAAAATGGTTTAAAATATCATACTAGAATTTATGGATCAAAATTTAGAAAATATTATAATTGATCATAGAAAAAGAAAGGATTACTTTGATACCAAAACCCTTAAGAACTATCTTTATTAGATGCTTAAAGGCCTTGACTAAATTCATAAAAAACATATTGCACATAGAGACTTAAAACCGTAAATTATTAATGTTATTGAAATAGCGAAAATGTATTAATTTAAGATGGAACTCTTAAGTTATGCGATTTTGGAAGTGCTAAAGAGATGACAGGAACAGCTATCAATACACCTTATATAGTTTCTAGATTTTACAGAGCTCCTGAATTATTGTTAGGTATCACTAATTATACTGAAACTATTGATATATGGGCTTTTGGTTGTATAATGGCTGAATTAGCATTATTGGAACCCTTTTTTATAGGCAAATCTGAAGGTGATCAATTATTTTAAATTCTAAAAATAATGGGATCCTTTAAAAAGGAAGATATAATATATTTTGAGAAAGCAGTTCCTTTTGATATCAATTTATTTCATGAGTTTCCTGAATATAAAGCTATTAATTTAAATGAGAAGTTTAGTAATGTAGAGGATAAAGAAAATTTTGTAGATTTGTTATAGTATAAATTTATGTTATTTAATAATAGAAAATTATTAAAATATATACCAGGATAAAGACCTTCTGCAAATTAAGCTTTGCAACATTAATATTTTAAAGATATTATAGATTAGTGATATATCAAAATTGTTTTTAATTAAATCATGATATCTTTTGATATAATCTCTAATATACTACTTGTTTCCATGAATCAATATTATCAATAGGCTAATATTAATTTACTTTTTGGATTATTTATTATAATTTTTCTTGTTTATAATATGGCTATTTCCAGTCATTTTAGAAGTAAGAATCCATTTAAACTTTAGTTCTAAGTTGAATTTTATTAATACCGATATTCGGTGATTGCAATTTGATCAGACTGAAGATTTTATTATGATTTTTGATTAATTAAACCCATCCATTCATTTCTTTATGTTAATTATAATCTAGAACGATAACTAGTTTAAGGAGTTTAAGCCTAAACATTATCCTTTTATTTTGATTGTTAATTTCTCTTACTCGCAGTAGTATGTAAAGAGGTACTTGGAGTTTTCTTTGATTTTTATAGTTCTTTGAGAACATATTTTAGAGAACTTAAATTCTATGCTTTTTATTTGTTGGCCTTTTGATTGGCTTTTCTATAGTAAAACATAAAATTTATACTAATAAATGTTCATCAATTTAGGTTTTTGAGTTTCTTGATCCATTTTTAATATTAATATATTTATATAAATAAAAATATTAAGTATCACAATATTCCCCAGGCATTTTATCCCTTTCTATTGAAGATATGAGTACTTCCTCCAGCTTCCATTAACAAATCCGCAATCTTGTAGTGCCCATATGCCAAAGCTAAATGAACTGCAGTATTGCCATCATCCTTCTTTAGTAATACCATACATTTTAAATATTGATGTCTGCACCTCTCTTTATTAGCTCATGTACAATTTCGATACATCCACACTAAGCAGCTAATATTAGAAACGTATTTCCATTTTAAAAAGGAGTATCTAATTGATGTTCTGGAATAAACTATATATTATCAATAAACTATTATTTATAATATTGATAAATCTTACTTCTGTATAATTATGATCATAGATGGATAATTTAATTTATTAAATTTAATCTAATTTTTATCTTCTTGAAGATTCTTTAATGTGAGTTCTCATTCTTAATGAATTCATATACATACTTAAGCAATTCTAATATTATTCAATACCAATACCATATTATTTTTTAAATGCTCAAAATTGTATTATTCACATAAATCTTATTGAGAATCTTCATCTAAACAACGTAAATTTCTACCAGAATTTATTTAATTTTAAACAGATGCTTGGAATATTTGTTATTATTATTATTATTATTATTATTATTATTATTATTATTATATTTATGGAGTCTTTTAAACTTAACCAGATTAAGGAGTTTCTTCATTTTATGAAGAATTTAAAGAAGAACTTATATCTTATTAAGAAGTATTTAAATCAATATGTTTTGAACTCATAACTCTAAATACAGATTATTAAGATGTTTAAGTAGGTTTTGTTATTAAAACAGTTGAGGCTTAAGTAAAGAAATTTGAGTTCTATTAATTTGACTATTATAGAGTATTAGATAAATCTCCAGATTACATTGCTCTTCTATTCCATTATTGTAATTAATGAACTTAAAGAGAATCCTATTTTGTTAGATATCTTTAAGATTATTACTTAACCTTTCCTCCTGTCTAAGGTTTCTTATTATTTAAATCTTTAACAGATTCCTTATGTGAATTTTTTATTTGGCTTTTAATCTATGAGAATTATTATTATAATTGATTAGATTAGGATTAATCATTTTTTTCTTATATTTCTAACATAGTTGTCTAAACAACAGGATCTTAATGTTCAACATCAATCATTCTGGTTGAACTGAGATATCTCCCAATTAGAATTTAAGAATATCTCATTTCTATAGCTTAAAAGATCATAGAATTCAATTAGGAATTTTTCTAAAAATTTAACAATTTCTAAATTGCAATTTGATCTTTATCCTTAATTAATTCCATATGAAAATCTTCACAAATAGAAACACTATAACTTAATAACTTATTTTTTGCAGATGATTCCAAAATGTTTAAAATTGGTTAAATTTATATAGGTATATGAAAAGCTTCTCGAATTTTCTTTATTAAAACTAATGTCCCTGTTGATAGTTCTATAATTTAATTTATTATTACATTTTTAATCTGTAGGTTAATCATTAAAAAAGTGTGTTTAATCATTTTATTCATTTTATATCTCTAAAATAGATCTTTTTCTTTTTGAAGGCTTTTTGTTTTTTTATAATGGTTCTAGCTTTAATTTATTTAAAATATTACTATTAGGATTTAAAGGACTTTCTAAAAATTTATCTAAAGAAACATCTTATTCTGATTCATCACTAGATTCAGTTCTATCTTAAGATGTTTCATTATTATAATCAAAAATCAAATTCTCAAATTCTATTTAATATTTTGGGAATTTTATTCCTAAAAATTAAATTTTATCTGCTAATGATTCATTTGTAATTCTTCTTTATCTTATTCCCTATTCTGTTGTTGACATCATTGTGTAAGTATTATTCATTATTGTATTATTATTAGGTGAAGCAAACTTTGGTCTAAAACTTTATTCAATTTCTTCTAAATTTTCTTTTGTATAATTAGATTTCTACATCATTTTATATAATTTATTTTGATAATAAACTCTAAAATATAAACCAGGCTAATAATTTTTATATGAATTAATACTTTATTAAATTCATTTTATTATTCAAGTTTTTAGATATCATCTTATGCTACACCTTATTGAATTGATAATCTTGATAATCTTTTGGTTTTTAAATTAACAAAGGATGAATTATAATCTAATTTTTTAGTTGATGCAAGTTAAATGTGATTATTTGATGATAATATTGGAAGGATTTTTGGAGTTATTTTTGGTGAAATACTTTATAATTATAAGATTTCTTCATTAAACGCTGTATTATTTTGATAAATATGTTTTGGTTTGTTAAATTAATATACTGCTTTATCAACACTTTCAAAAGTCACTGTTATATTAATTTAAACTCTTTTAAATTCTTTATTATCATTCTAACGTAATTCTGATTCTTCACTTTTCTCATTCGTATTCTCAGATATTAACAATTAAGTATTATTTTATAATCTTGAAACAATGCTTATTGCTGATTTTCTTGAAGATTTTGGAAGTAAAGAAAAAGATTCATTTGAAATTATATTTCTAGAATTAGGTCCATGAATTAAATTAATCTTTCTTTAAAATGCTTTAGTTGAGACACTAAACTATTCAACATTTATAAAACGAGACTATCTTTAGATTTCCCTTGTTTTGATACATTATTTTTTCCAACGAGTTTTTTTTAAGTTTATTAACTTAGAAGCTAATACTTAATTACCTGGTTCGAATTTAATTTGGATGGATTTTCTCTCATTTTCATGTAATGTATTAAATTCATGAGATATAAGGAGATTAAATAATGACTAATTATATAAGATAATACTTTCCTAGGAGGAGAGCGAAATGATTTTTAAACTGCTGATTTAAAACGGGATTTGAGTGAAAGTTTGCTTGTTGATAATTAATCTTCATAATTCTGTGAGATTTCAGAAGCATGAAGTAAATTATTTGATTTATTAACATCTATACTTTTATCACCATTACTTCTTCCTTCATCACTATGTTCCTCAATTGCAGCAGTTGGTTCTGTCATTATGTTTATATAAGGCATTCTTTATACTTCCATTTTAGGTTCAGGTGATAGTTTAGGAAGTATTGGAATACGAATTTATGGATGTTTTTTTGAAATATATAAATATGGTGTTGTTGAATGCTCTGAAACATATTTAATTCTTTCTAAATTCTTATTTTTTTATTTTCTATCCTCATGTAAGGTCACCATCTTTGCTCTTGGAGATACAAGATCTGTTTTTTTAGTATTTTTTTGATGTTATATGAAACTCAACTTAGTAGGAATTGATTAGGCTGATCTAATTGATTAATTTTATGAGAGAAAGCTAGTTAAAAAGCTTGGGTTTTCTTTTGGACTTAGGAAACTTCCATGAGATGATAAAGAAAATGGATTAGCATAATTCATTTATAAAAATTATATGCAACAACTAAAGACTAAAATAAAGCCTCCTTTTTTCTTAGATGGGGTGTAGGCTGCAAGAAGAGGAAAGGTACTTGATTACAAGGCTGAAAAGGATACTCATTTAGAATAATATTACTTTAATATGTAAATGAGATAACAAATGAACAAAATCAAACAAGATAGAATGAGTTAAAGAAATTTAGCTCATTAATAATAATCAAAGTCTTTTGAATAAACTATAGTAAGGATGAATACATAAAGTTTAGCATCAATAAAAATAAACTTAAGTATTTAATAAATCCAGCTCGCCCTAACAATAGACAACATCTATAGTATCCAATACTCAAAATGTTCCTAAAGTATCTAGATCATTATCTAAAGAACAATTTGTAACATTTCTTGATTCTCTCATTACAACAGTATAGAATGTTTAACAGTTAGTAATTTCATATTTTCCATAAGATTAAATGGACAATTAAATATCTAAATAGCAAGATGAATTAAAAAAAATTAGTTAAGCAACTGAATAACTAAGCAGAAAATTACGAGCAAATTCATTGGAAAATAAAAAAGAAGTAGAAAATGTTAAAACTCAAAAGAACTTTTCAAAATTACCTTAGATAAAAAAAAGTGATGGTAATGTAAGTAAATCTTATAGAGGAAAAGATTAACAATATAAAATTCATAAATCAAATACTAAAAATATAGTTAATACATCAATAACTCTTGAAAGAAATTAAAATATTGAATTAGAGGAAACAGAAAATCATAATTTTGATTATAAATATTATGAATCTGTTTAAGATAATACAATCAAAAAGACTATTATAAATAAACCTATAGATCAAATCTAAAATTATAGAAATCTAGATTCCTAATAATAAAAGTTATTATAAATTAAATTAGATTAAGAAACATAACTTTCATCTGTTAGAGGTTCATAATAAAAATAGTAAAAGAAATGTCATAAAGAAATTCAATTAGTCTTAAATAAACCAAAATAACATAAAAATAAAAAAAATATTCAATTAGTATCATAATCTCCATAATAATTAAAAAGTAAAAGTGTTGGTCCATAGGATAATACATAGAAAAGTTAATCTAAAAATTAATCAAAATTAGATTTTAAAAAAATTAATTCAATCAATATATCAAAAATTGATGTAGAAAAATCAAATTAAAATTCTAATTTATAAGATCATTCAACTAAGAAATCAAGTACAAATCCAATTGCAATTTAGAGTTATTAATAATCTAATTTAGATTAATAAAACAATGAAATTTAAGTTGTTTAGGATGTTATATAGAATTAATCAAAAGATTCTTAATTATTTTTGATTTAATAATAATAGTCTTAAGATTAATAATAATAATCATAAACTTAAGATGATGAAAAGATTAAATTAAATGTAACTGCTTTCTTCAATATTATGGAAGAAGAAGAAAAGAAAGAAACAATAGGAAAAATGATAGAAAGTAATGAAATTAAAAGATATAATGAAAATGAAGAGGATGAACAAAATGAATCTAATGATTAAAAAAAATAATAGGAACATATGTTTATTTAAATGATTCAAAAATAAGCTATTGAAAATGATCAGAAACTGTTACAATAATAATAAACTAATTATAATACATCAAATGATGTAGGAAATGGCAGTGAAATCTTAATTAAAGCTGCAGAATCCATAGATCCATAAAGTGATTAGGATATTGTAAATCCACTTGAAGATAGTGATGATTAATAAAGAGATAATTAAGAAGGCTTCTTGATTACTACATTAGAATAAAATAATTAATAAGTTATTGAATACTAAAAGGAAAATTTTGAATAAGAATCATGATTGTATTATTATATATTTAATTAACTATGTTATCAAAAAAGAGTTTGATGTCATTAATGGGATATGTTCCTGCTTTGGTTGTTTAGTATTTTGCATAGCATGAATAGTATAAAATATTTGATTTTTGAGAATTAAGGAATTACCTGCAAAATAATCATTTTAAAGTGTTGTAATGTTCACAGATGTATCAGGATTTACCAATTTGACAGAGAGTCTTTCAAAATTAGGAAATGAAGGACCAGAATTAACAGCCTTTGTAATTAATAGATATATGGAATTACTAGTAAAAGCAATTAGTTAAAGTGGAGGTGATATATTAAAGTTTGCAGGAGGTTAAAATTTCTATAAATTCTAGATGCAATGATTGTAGTATGGCCTCCTTCTTATAAAACAGATATTGTATAGGTACATGAAGATCTACGTCTAACTTGTAGAATGGCTCTTTAAAATGCATTGGATATACAAAATAAATTAAATGATACATGCATTTTGCCAGATTTAAAATTATCAGTCAAAATAGGATTTGGAATTGGGGATATTAATATAATATATGTAGGAGGAGTTTACAATCGATCTGAATATTTAGCTACAGGAGAACCATTATTGTAAGCATTTTAAAGTGAACATTGTGCAACAAAAGGAGGAGAAACAATAATTTCTAAGGAAGTATATGAATTTGTAAAGGATTACTTCTCATTTGAAACAATTAATCATGAAAATAAATAGTTTTATCTTGTAAAGAAATTGAATGCTTACAGTAAAGTTAAATTAAAAGCAGAGGCGACTCTAATTAAAAATTCAATAATTTTAAATCCTAAAATTTAATAATAATTAGCTATGTTTGTCCCTGCAGCACTTAAACCATATATGGAAATAGGATTAGAAAGATGGGGTAGTGAATTAAGAAGAGTAACTACAATGTTCATCAATTTAAGTATAGATTTATCTGATGCAAAAACAGATTCAGGTCTATAGAGAATATAAAATGTAATTAAAACTGTTCAATATTGTGTCTATACATTTGAAGGTTCTTTAAATAAATTATTAATGGATGATAAAGGTTCTACTTGTATAGCTGTATTTGGATTACCACCTGTTAGTCATCAAAATGATCCAGTGAGAGCCATTTAATCAGCATTTTTATTAGAATCAGAATTAAAAAAGATCAAATGCAAAGTTGCAATTGGGATTTCAACTGGAATAGCATATTGTGGAGTTGTAGGGACTTCAGGGAGTAGAAGAGAATATTCTGTATTAGGAGATTGTGTTAATTTGGCTGCTAGATTAATGTAAATAGCAACATAACCTTTTTCACCTTGTATTTTAATAGATTAAACAAGTGCAAGTGATGCTTAGACTAAGATTTAATCTGTATTTTGGAGTGAAAGGAAAGTAAAAGGAAAAGAAAAAGGAGTATTTATATATGAACCTTTAATTGTGTAAGAGGATTTTAAAAAAATTAAAGATATCAATACTCATCTTGAATTTAGAATGATGAATACATAATCAATTGCTAGTTTATCTAATTTTAGTTCTACTTTTTCATCAAAATCACTTTAATATCATAATAATTTATCATCAATTATAGTGTTTGATAAATATCATAGTCATTGTAGAGAATATGATGAGGAACTTTAACCAGTTGGTAGAAAATAAGAAATTAATTAAATAAAGAATTTTATTCAAAAATTTTTAGATGAATTCAAAAAAAATAAATATGTTTAAAATAGATTAGTATTAATAAAGGGTGAATATGGGATTGGTAAATCATTTTTAGCTAAAACAGTATTAAAAAATATTGATGCTTTATAAAATAAAGAAGCCTTATTGGAGATAATGATATCATCATTAAATCCATCTAGTAGATCAAAATTATTGAATTCAATAAAAATAATTTTAAGAAATATTTTTCTTTCTTATGCTTAAAGATTAAATAAAGCTGCAAATGTTGAATTAATTTAATAAATTTATTAATGTGATTCACATTTAGCTAATATAATTAGTTAAGTATTGAGTCTTACTGTTAATGATATTAAAGCCAATACAATTAGAGAAGATTTAACTTTAGCAAAATCAATTAAAAAATTTGTTTATAGATTAATTAGTTTATATTTAGAATAAGAATAAGGATAACTTAGAAATGAAATATAAAATGAGGATTAAATATAAGAATACTATTCTTAAGCATTAATAATAATGATAGATGATATGTAAGATACCGATGATGGATCATTATATCTTTTAAAATCTATACTTAAAAATTTTAAAAATATTTTAGTTATTGGTTGTATTAGGAATAAATTTAAGGAATTTTCCTTTTTTTATAATAATAATAATTAATCTGAATGTTAATCAGAGTTTTTAAATAAAATGATTAAATAGCAATAAAACAATATGACTATAAATTTAAAGGGTTTAAAGTAGTCTGATTAATTGTAGGATTTATTTGAAAAATATTTCAAGATAAAATCTTTTGTTTGTATGGAAGAAGATTAAAAAAATTAAGAATAAACTATGTTTGCACGTAGAAAAAGAACATAATCTATAGATGATATTTATGAAATGGTTGAATTACTAAAAAAAATTAGAGATCCATTAATGTTTTGGGAGTCAAAGCCTGAATTAGAAGTGATGGATTTTAATTCTGTATGTATCAATTATTTATATGTGATAACATGTGGTCATCCATTAAAAATGATCTATTTAATGAAACATTTATTAGAAAATCATTATATAATACTAGATGAATAAAGAAATTTAGGAATGGCTTCAAAAAAGTTTCGTACACTTATTAAACATGAAGAATGGTTAGATATTGATACTCCTTTAATGGCTGTTTAAATTAATGGTCCTTATATTGATAAATTAACTGCAATATAATAATTAATATTAAAATAAGCTTGTGTAATAGGAGATATATTTGATATATAGACATTAAATTATGTTAATCCATTTAAAGATTTTATTAAATAAAAACTGTTAATAAATGAATTAAATTCTCTTTATGAATAAGGTCTATTAGATATAATGAATATGGAAGTTGAAAATATTTATTATAGATTTTCTTATTCATTTTTTAGAGAAACAATTTATTAGAGAATGACTTATGCATAAAGAAGATAAGCTCATAAAAATGTAGCTTTGGCATTATAGAAAATTCCTTAACCATTTGATTATCATAATAATAAAGAATATACAAGAATGTAATATCATTGGACATAAGCATAAAATAGAAATTCAGTTATTGTAGATGAAGGTACTTTATTACCAAAATTGACACTTTTTGAAAAGAAATAATTGATAATAAAAAAGATTAAATAATTATTAGATTAAAATAGAAGAAATGTTCTATTGAAATCTGGATACATTAATAAAAGATCTGAAAAAGGTTTATAATGGAATTGGAGATTTTGTGTAATATCAAGTGAATGTTTAATGTAAATAAATTTATAATAAATTTAGTGTTTCGTAAGAGGATGATAATCCTGAACATATTTTAACTGTTTATTTAAAACATATTCAATTAATAGAGAGAGAGTTTAACTCTTAATATTTTACTTTAACAATTACTACTTCTTAATGGAGTAGAGGAAATTAAGTATTTGAGAATTATAGAAAAGTTTATTTTGCACTTGAAACAGAAGATGAATTGAATGAATGGGTTACATATCTAGAATTTGCAAAAGCTTATGCTATTTATATGGATTTTGTAAATAATTTTGGGAGAATATCATTTCCATTATCATCAAATGAATATGATTTTTAATTAAAAAGCGAATTATAACATGATAATAGAAGAATTGCAAGATTAGGTTTGATAGATTCTAATATGGGAATTGAGAAAATGTAAGTAAGACATACTAAAGCATCTACAAGCAGACCTACAATGTAAAGAAAACATAAACCAAGAAAGTCAAGTTTGTTTGCTGATGGATATAGAGGAAGTACTTCAAGTTCTTAATAGAATACTTCATTATGTATGTTGATTTTATAGTATAATATAGAATAGCAGAAAGGATATGATTAATCAGAATTAGTATTGAATATTAAGACTTTACTATTAAATGCCTAGTTGTAATTATTAGCTCTCATAGTGAATAAGGCTACTTGTTAAAAATAGATTATTTTGGGATAAAAACTCTTTTGAACTAATATTATCAAATATATATATTTATTTATTTATTAAATTTATAAGGCGGGAAATGGAACAGAGTAATTTATTGAAAATGTTGAATTATGCAAACATACATTTTAGAAAAGATGGATTAAGTAGATTCAAAGAATTGCATGGATAATATATTGATAGAACACTTCCTGAAAAATTTGTGTATTTTGCAAAAGAATTAAATTATGCATATATAGAGAAAGAATAAGTAGATAAGATAAGTGAGATGATTAAATAAGGAAAATAATCAAATTCTTATGATTAAGTTACAATATTATAAGAGAGAATAAAAAAATCAATAATTATATTAGATTATTTTGAATTAGATAGATTTACATTTTAATGTACACCAAAGGATAAATATAATATGTAATTAAATAGATTGGCACATATAACATAATTGTTGAGATAAGATACTCGTTATGTTTTTGGTTATTAAAGCAATGATGAAATTTCAATTAGTTCAATTGGTACTGCAAATGGTTCAACAGATAAAATTTATTATATATTAGGGTATAAAATTATAATAAAATTAGAATATTAATATAACTTGGAAATAATTATTATTTGAGTGATGGAGATGATAAAATTAAGATAAATTTATAAAATGCTCATAATAAGAGCTTTTTTAAAAATGACAATCCTGAATAAGTGGATATTGGATTAGCAAATTTGGGAAGTATATTGATGATGGTTGGAGAATGGAATGATCATCATGGATATTTCTAGGTCACTAACTTTACTATTCCATTTGTATAAATTTATAATTTATATTAAGTTTAATATAAAAAAGAAAATTAAATTACAAATGAAAAATTCAGACTTAAAAGAAATTTTATAAATAGACACATTTGGAGTTTATAAGAAAATCTTAAAATTTAATTCTAATTTAGAATATTAAACAATTGAAAGATAGAAAAGTCTAAATATTTATTAAAAAGATGATTTTGATAAAATATGGATTCTATCTAATTTTAGTTTAGAAAGCTTATTATCTATTCAATTATTTGAGAATTTAATTCAGTAATCAATAGAGTATAAATTGATGCCTCCTGGAGCTATATTTTTTATGGGATAGTTTTCTAGTTAATAAATTCCAAATCATGAATCATTATATGGAAATGAATTAGTAAAGGTTGTTAAACATTTTTCTGAATATCTACAGAAAACTTTATTATTTTTTATTCCTTCATATAATGATTTTCCTTTAGCATATTCTATGCCAAAAACACCTATTAATTTGTCATTATATATAAAGGAACCTACATAAATGATGCATAGTTTAAGTAATCCATGTAGATTATCAATAAAAGGATTCAATATTATTATTGTTAGAAATGATATTTCAAAAGAAATAAGAAAAAATCATATTCAATCTTTTTAGGCTGGACATGAACATTTATGTGAAACTATATTATCTTAACAATATCTGGGAACATTTTAGAGTAATCAAGTTTGTTATAAATGGAATTATGATTCTGCTATGTATCTTGATCCAAGTGTTGATTTAATTGTATTATGTGATTTAACTGCTGATTAATTCAAATATCAAACAATAATTAATGACACCTAAGTCATGAATCCAGGTAATTTTTAAAAACAAGATTTTGGATAAATAAGTTTTAATAACAAAAAATAAACAATATCTTGTTTTACCTCTAATTTGAATTAGAAATGAATTTCTTATTTATATTTCAAAAATCCCTCCAATATTATTATTTTATTTTTATGAAATCAAAACAATATACTCTAATTTCAATTGAAGGCAATATTGGATCTGGTAAAAGTACTTTACTTAGATTAATGTAATAAAAATATCCAGATGTAATTAAATATAATTAATCATTTTTTAGTTGAGATTTATAGCAGAACCAGTTAATGAATGGTAAAGCATAAATGGAGATCCCTCTTTGAATTTATTAGGTTCCTTTTATGAGGAGCCATCAAGATGGGCTTACACTATGCAAGTTTATGCATTCTACAGTAGACTTAAGCATTGGAAAGAGGTTTTATCTGATCCATTGAATCCTGAAGATAGACATCTCATATTAAGTGAAAGAAGTATTGAAGCTGATAAAGAAATATTTGCTGTTAATGGACATAAAAATGGAATGATAAATAAATTAGAATTTGCTTTATATGAAAAATTTTATGATTGGTTATGTGATGAAGTGTTTGGAAAAAAAATCTAAAAGCAAATGATCATATATTTACAAGTAGATCCAGATGTCTGTTATTCAAGGATGTAAAAAAGAGCAAGAGATGAAGAAAAAGTATTACCGCCATTTTTATTATTTTAAAGAATACCATTTCAAAAGAATATTTGACTTAAATCCATAATAGACATGAAGAATGGTTATTAAGGGAAACTCATTAAAATACATCTATACTAGTACTAAATGGAGATTAAGAATTTGAGAGTGATCTCGTTCAATAAAATAAAATGTTTAACACTATCGATTAATTTTTACAAGAATTATTTTGAATTTAATTAAATTATTTATATATTTTTATTTATTACAAATAATAGTATATTGTGAATTTCCATTAAATAAATCTAATAAAAAATGTTAATATATAATTTTTGTTTAATTATAAATTACTATATTATGAAGCAAGATATAATCAATTTTACACAAAATATTGCATTTTAATTTTTTTATTTCAATTTTTAATTTTGAAAATTCTTTTATATTAATTAGTTGAATAATTATTTATCAATTATTTCAAGATTTTTATATCAATTCAATTATAGAGCCATATAATACTAATTAATTGAGTATATCAAATATAATAATATCAAAATTAAAAGATTATCAAATGGTATATTATTTTATATTATGATTTTTCATTATTCTTATTCGTAATGATTGGGTGGATTACCTCCTGGCTAATATACTGGACTGTAAGTTGAATAGATATTTTGGGATGTCTAAGGAGATCCAGTTTGACCGCGACCACTTCCAGTGTTTGATGGTGACAGAGGTGAGTTATATATACTACTAGTATAATTAGGACTAAGGAGATAAAGAAATAGAAATACCTTCTGGAGGAATTTAAAATAGGACTCGAAGATCTTTGGCCAGAAGTAGCTCTCTCGCTGCTTCTATAACTTGGACTTGGGGAATTAGTATGACTAGTGTAATGTGGTGATACAGGACTATGACTACCGGTAACAGGATCTGATTTTCTTGGTTCAGCTTATAATCCAGATATAGAATCAACAGGACTTAGTTGATATGGGTCATTTGGTATAAGAGGAGTGCTAGAGTAAAATGGAGAACGATGACTCATATCTGGAGTATATTCTCTATTAACAGGAGTAGCAAAGCCTGGAGATTTAGTTGGAAATGGAGAATAGGGGGAATTTATATAGGATGAGACAACACCAGGTAGTGGAGTGTTAATAATTTGAGGTGTTTGTAGATTTTAATCATAGGGAGATTATTCAGCAAGATATTCTCCTCCTTAAGTGAATTTATCAGCATGACTAGATTTCAATTTGAATTCCTTAACATTTTTAGCATTGACCATAAGTTCAAAGCTACCTGTTCCATGTGGACATAATTATCCAAAGATGATATTTTCACTCAATCCTCTCATATGATCAACTTCAGAGAAAACAGCAGCATCATATAATATTTCAACTGTTTCTTCGAATGAACTTTTACGAAGAACACTTACTTCAGGTATTCTGTTTATACCATTTCTGTTGACAGCAGTTAATCTACCTCTATGAGTCATCCAATCATATAATAAATAAAGATGTCTATAATTGATATAGATACCATAATGATTGAAGATCTTTCTTGTTTCTCCTACTAGAGCAGCTCTAGCAGCTTCTATTCCCAAAACTTATGATATTTCATAAACATCATCTGTTGTAGTTCTTTTTTGATCAACATGTTCTAATCTAAGAATTTCTTTTAGATTAGTTCCTTCTGTTTCTAAATATTTTTCAATAATTTTCCATTTGCCTTTACCATCAATATTAGCTTATTTCAAAAATCCTCCAGTTTTGTTATTTATATAGAATTATTTTTCAATTTGTGAATGAAGTATTCTTGTAATTTTACTAATTCCTCCTAATGAATATCCTCTAATAGTTTCTTCTAATCTTTTTAAAATAGTATAAGGAGTATCAACATATGTTTTAATTTTGTTTTCTTCATCAAAAGCAATTTCATCATCAAAATTACCCTTTCCTCTTTCTGGTTTAAATTTCTTTTTATCATCATAATCATGATAATATTTAATTTGAATATATTTATGATTCATTGAATCTGGATCAACAATTGTATTTTAAGAAGAGATTCCAAATTTCTTTTCAGTTTCATCTAAAATTTTTGGAATGCTATCTCTAATTTTATCCCAAGTTTCTAAATTTGATAAAATCTTTTAATGATCCATATGTAAAAAGAGTATCCATTTATATTTTGCTTCATCTGTGTCAAAAATACCATCAGTAAAATTATCTTCTTAATCTTCAGTAATATGTAATGGATTATTAGGATCAGTTTAATAATAGATTTCACTCTTTATTATATACTATCCAAATGTTTAACCAAGAATTCTACCTTACATTTATACTAACATACTCTAAGTAAAATCATCTTATTTATGAGGATGAGCTAATTATTCTGTTTTATAATATGCTTTTTTGTCTTTATCATCTTTTAATTCTAATTCAGCATATTCTAAAGGAGGATCAAAATAAATTGTTAAACTTGGAGTCTTGGTTTTTTTACTTGCATCCAATAATTCTTATAATCTAGGAACACCCAAAGTCACATTTTTATCACCTGTAACACCAGACTTATGAAAAGTATTTAAAGTCATTTGAGTAGTAGGTTCACCTAAAGATTAAGCAGCTATAGCACCTACTGCTTCTCCTGGATGAGCCATACTTTTTTTTAGTTTATAAATAATTTCAGATATTAATTCTTAGAATGCTTCTGGTGTTAATCTATGTCTACAACATAAATCTTTACTAGCTAAAGATACTTTTAAGTGACTTCTAAATAAATTTATACAATCTCTTCTTTCTTCTAAATCATAACTTAATAATTTATCTACTTTTTATATTAATTCATCAACTTATTATGTAACATGAATTGGATTTAATCTACATTTTTCTCTATCACTAATTTTTTTATTTATTTTAATTGTTGAAATAATTCTTTCAATATTTACAACCAAATAATAATGAGTAAATAATTCTTCTTTTGGAGCAGAATCAATTAAAAATAATCTACGTAATTCATTTCTAATCTTTTTTATTTCATCAAATTCTCCTTTTAATAATGCTTGACCTTCAAAATCTTCTTCAATATCTTTTATTACATCTTCTGTTAATATATTTTAATATTTCTATCTAATTTCACTACCAAACCATTATTCCTTAATTAATTCATATTTCTCTTCCAATTAAACATCACTTAAATTAACACATTTAATTTCTTAATGTTCTATAAATTCTGCAGCCATTTTATCTTCACCATAATGAAATTAATAAACTGCTCCTACTGAATCTCTACATGATGAATCATATCTAACAAACACATCCTCTACTGCTTTAATCAATTTCCTTTAAATATATCCAGTTCTACTTGTTTTCACAGCAGTATCAATAAGACCATCTCTACCACCCATAGTATGGAAAAAGAATTCAGTTGGTTTAAGTCCTTTAAAAAAATTACTAGCCACAAATCCTCTTGCTTCAGGACCATAATCAAATTTAGAAAAATGAGGTAATGTTCTATAAGCAAAACCAAATTAAATTCTCTTTGATTCTAAATTTTATTATCCAACCAAAGATGTAATTTATGCCAAATTTGATGCTTCTCCTTTACTTTTAGCCCAAATCATTTTATACATACAATTACGTATTTGATCAATAGTTTCTGTAACTTTTGAATTGATATCATCTCTCACCTTATTCAATTTCATATTGAAAGAATATTCAAATGAATCCATAATTCTCTTACCCTTTTGATGATATCTATTATCTTAGATCTTCTTTGCATCTAAAAAGATTTACAATAATTTAATATATTCATCATCTTATTCTTTACTTCTTTTTTCAGTTTCTGCAACTAAATTTATATGAGGAGCTATATCTTAACATCCAACAGTAAATGAATGCATAATCAACCAATTATTCACAATTCTTTAACAAGATGTCATAAATTCCAATGTCTTTTCAGCTCCTAAATCTAACCAACAAAGATGCACAACAGAACCAGCACCCTATCCTACCAATTCTTTATTGAAAATTCCACTAACCAAATTTCCTCTCTATATACACAAACTCTTATCATCTGCATTCCAATTAGGTTTTCTAAGATCATCTTCTCTAATACCTCTTTCAGTATTTATAGATTATGGAATTATCATAGACATAATTTATTTACCTGACCATAATTCTTAAGGTTTTAATATAGCAGGCATAGGTAATTCTCCAGTAAATTATTCATTCCACATCATCAAATGCATAACTTAATCTTTAGTCAAAAATGTATCTCTTTAAGTAAATAAACAACATCCAAGTAAAGAATCCTACACAATACCCATAACTGGTTAATTACTCTTTGGTGTTACAATTTATCTAGGAACATGTGCCAAATATTTCAATTCTGCTATTGTTTCATATGATTAAGGAACATGCATATTCATTTCATCTCCATCAAAATCTGCATTATATGGTGTACATACAGACAAATTCAATCTAAATGTTGAATAAGGTAGAATCCTAACTCTATGTCCCATCATACTCATTCTATGTAATGTAGGTTGTCTGTTAAATAATACAAAATCACCATCTTATAGACATCTCTCCACTATAACTCCTTAATTAATTTTCTATCTAATCTATTCTTCAGTATCTGTAAAATCAAAATACAAAGCCTAAAACTTCCTTTATTTACTTCTTGGATCTGTTATAGGTACTATCACATATTTAATTTTGTTAGTCTTTGCTAATTAAATTACTCTTTCTAAATTGTATTCTGTCACCTCCTCTGGAATTGTTAATTAATCTGCTACTATTTAAGGTACTCCCAATTCATCCATCCCCAAATTTGCATCTGGAGATATAACTGAACGAGCACAAAAATCTACTCTCTTACCCATTAAATTTTATCTAAATCTACCTTCCTTACCCTTCAATCTTGCTCTTATACTCTTTAATGGTTATGTTGATTTCATTTTTATCTTTCCTGCCTTCTCTGAATCAATAATTTTAGCTACTTCTCTCATTAATTCTGGAGCCAATCTTACTCTCTCTGCATCACTACTACAATTAGCTATTTCATTGTTCTTCTATAATATTGATTTATATATTTGAGTATATTAATCTTATGCAATCCTGGCTGGATTCATTTCTATTGCTGGTCTCACTTATGGTGGCATAACTAATAAATATTTTATAATTAAATCTCGAGGTCTTGAATCTTTTGTAAATCCTAATATGATTGCATCCTCATCCCTAATCTTTTTAAATATCTCTAAACATCTTTCTGCTGTTAATTCCTTTGCCGCCTCTTTTGTATTATATTAAATTTTTATTTATCCATTTATGGCTTAAATTCTAGTAGGAATTTTCTCTCCACAAAACTCCTCACTCCCTTAATTCTCTTCTGATTTATGTTTACTAGTCTCACATTTCTCTATTCTACCCAACAATTTCACTATTTCATTCAATCTCTTACGATTCAATTTATGTTCCTTGGCCTTCTAAAATGATAACTTTTTTTCATAAGATTGATATATACCCAAGCATCCTCTGATTGTGGCTATCTCAATTTACCACAACTGTGGCAGATGCACTTCAATACCTTCTTTACTATCTGCAAGAACCCTACATGGTATACTGGCTTATTCAGTTCAATTCTTCCAAAATGTCCTTGGCAATACTTCGTCTCTCCACATGTCTTACACTTTTAAGAATTCGTATTCACGCCCATACGAAGGTCATTTAAACCATTTTATTTTGGTGTCCCATCAAGCTCATTAGTTTGTAGCTCCTTTATTTCAATCTCTCCTGTCCATTCCTTAATGAGCTCATGACTCATTAAGCCAAATTCAACTCGTCTGACTTTAGCAATTGGAGCAGTGGAGTAAGTGAAATCAGCGCCTGATTGTCTCATAATTAATTTAATTAATAAATAAATATTTTTCCCTATTCTTCACTTCATTAATTTAAATTAAAACCAGCCAAAACAATTAGAATTAATTAAAATTCATTCTAATTCATTTCTCACTCCTCCCCCATCATCTTACCATTCTATCTTTTCTATTCCTTATTCATTTATTTTCTAATCCTATTTTACCTGATAATATGTTTAAATATTTCTATTATAGAAAAATAAGATTAGATAATAAGTTTAAGTAGAATTAAATAATTTAGTTTATAATAATTGAAGTTACCAAATGTTGCCTATTCTTTAATAAAATAAATATATAGCAAATCTATTCTATCAATTATAGACTCTTTAGTACAATTTTTTTAATATATTATTAAATTTATAATAATTTGTTCAAAGAAGATAGTAATCTTTAAAAGGATAAATAATATATGACTATTGTATAATATTAAAATAGATTCAGTTATTTATTATAAAATCTATTCCTGATTATTTAATTTTAAAAAAATATGGGTTTTATTCTTATTATCTATTCAATCAAAATATTATTTTAAGTTTCTTTATGTTATTTTTTGTTAATAATAGATCTATAAACAATTAATCCAAGTAATATTGTTAAATTAATTTTTAAGATGTAATGATACTTTTTAGAAGTAACATTTAATAGATTGATTGATTTGTTTTATAACTCATAAATTCAATTTAAGTTAATCTAAATTTGAGTTAAAGTTAATCAGCCAAATTAAAGAAATGATAAAATGATAAAATTATGATATAAATATAATTAAATTATGGAAACAGCTAAAAAGCTCAAGTTGAAATCATCAAGATTCTTTGAAAAAGAAATGAGCTCAAAAGCATAAGAATTAATAGAAGAAATAAAATTAAAAGATAGAAGTCACTTAAGATTGAGAGAATGGTATAAAAGAAATCATTATGAAAAGAGTCTTAAAGAATTGAGAAAATAATATGAAAAGTAATAACTAATTGATTTAGATATTTTACAATAGCTAAAGTAGATGGTCGCACATTCACTTCAGAACAATTTGTGAATCAATTTGAGATTCCAGACATTCCTTGTATAATAACCAATACAACAGATGATTGGAATGTTGATAAATATTGGACTTTTGAGAAATTATATCAACATTATAAAGAAACCTGCTTTAAAATTGGAGAAGATGATAAAGGAAGAAAGTTAAGATTACCCTTCAAATATTTTCTTGAATATTTAGTATACAATAAGGATGATTCTCCTCTTTATTTATTTGAAAGGTATATTAATCTATAATAATTTAATAGTTCAGTTGAAGATATGAAGGATGGAGGAGCAGATATGATTGGAAGATACAAATAACATAAATATTTTAAAGAAGATTTCTTTTCTATAGTAGGAGAGAAACATCGTCCTCCTTATAGATGGTTTTTGGTTGGGTAATGTATTATTTAATCAATAGACCAAAACGATCTGGTACTACAGTTCATATAGATCCATTAATGACAAGTGCATGGAATACATCACTATAAGGACATAAATTATGGGTACTCTTTCCACCTGATATACCAAAATCAATTGTAAAAGCAAAAGGACTTGCTGCAAAAAAAGAAATTGATCCAGAAGTATTGGATGAATCTATAGATTATTTTCTTTATGCTTTGCCAAAATTAATTGAAAAAGAAGGAGCTGATAATTTAAAGATTATAATGTGTGTATAAGGTCCCGGAGATACTATATTTGTACCTGGAGGTTGGTGGCATGCAGTCTTAAATTTAGATAATTCAGTTGCTTTAACATAGAATTTTATGTCAATCAATAATTTTGATAAAATTTGGAGGTAAATATTATAGAAAAATAAAATTTAGATCTGTAAGAGACGAAAGGCCAAAGTTTAGTCAAAGATTATTAGAGGCATTTAAGGAGTAAAGGTCCGATTTGTATGAAAGAGCACTTAAATTAGATGATATAGACAAGAACGAATTTAGAGTGCTAAAGGATGCCAATCCATTGAGTTCCGATGATTCATCTGGTAGTTCATCATCTAGTAGTTCAAGTAGTTCGTCTAGTAGTTCCAGTTCCGATGATGATTGATTAAATTTATATTAATAATAATTTTTATATTATAATATTTTTTATATAATATAAGAACTTTAATTTTGATTAATATTTTTATATAATTTCATATGAATTCTTCATTCATTTTATTATTGGGCTGGCATAGGGTACTTAAGTTCATATTTAAATTAAATCTTTAAACCACCAAATGCTTTTCTCAATTCTTCGAAACCTTCTACCCACTATTTTAATTGATTGCCCCAGAACTCCTAAATCTTTTTCTTATTTTCAAAACTCTTTTATTATTATTTTGATAATCTGTCTTCAAGGAGATTAAATAATACTACTAAAGGACTTTCATAAATAAATGATTAGAGGTTTTTCAATTCTGATTCCAATTATCTAATTTTATGAGCTTCATTTCCTTGATTATCAGCTAAAAATAAATTAAATAAATTTATACATTTTTAACTCTTTAATGTTTCAATTAATTTAACTAATTAATTATTTTCATTTTATAACATAGCAATTTGATCATTTTTTTATTATAAATCTTTAATAAGTTTTTCGTCAGAAGGTTAGGATATACTTCTAACAAGATTGATTTTATGATCCTATTATTTAAATAATTGTAATTGATTAGTTAATTATGTAATTTAAGTATTCAATTTTTCTATTATTTACATATTTTCTCCAAGTTTATTTTAAAATTCTTATTCTTTTTCTTTTAATTTTAATTTTGTTTATTGAAGTTCAGCAAAAAGATTAGCTATAGATTATTCAGATTTTGTTAATAAATTTTAGAGTTACAAAATCTTTTCATTTTACATACTTATCTAATGAGTTTAACCTTTAATTTGATTTTTATATTCTTCAATATCTTTTGTCATTTTTGTTAGTTCTGGTTTATAATCTTTACTCATGACAGAATTTTATAGATTTTAGTTTTTAAATTCTATTAATTCAGAGATTATTTCAGTATTCTATTACAATTATAAATCATATTGTCTCTTTAAATCTTATATTATGTTATCTCTATTTTAAATATCAATTTTATATTAAGCCTGTTTTTAATTAAGTTCATTAGAGATTTTGTTGATTTTTTCTTCCAATTATTTAATGGCTTTAGATTATACTTCAACATTTTCTTTTAATCTCAATTCTCTTTGTAATGCTTAATTAGTGTCTTCTTTACACATGGTTGTAGTTTCTAAAATGATAATACATTTAATATTTACATTATAATTATTCCATTGTTAATCTAAGTGCAAACACTTCAGAATTTAATTGATCATTTCTTTAAGTAGTTTGATCTAATATATCATGCAAATTAATAAGTTCATTTTATATTGATTGTTTTTCTTTCATAGACTATAATAATTTAAGTTCTCTATCATCTACTAATTCTTTTAATTTAGTTACTAAGAAATTTTAAACATCATATATACCTTCGATTTACAATTATTAATTCTACTTATGTTTTAAATCAAGTAATTCATTCTATTTATTTAGTTAAGTGGCTAATTCTTTATTCTAATCATTTAATTGTTTGATCTCATCCTATAATAATGATGTCATTAAATAATTTACATTAGCTTTTGAAATTTGAGACTTACTCTCATTAAGTTGTATAGTATTTGAATCGAATATAAATTCTGTTTCTTCATCTGAACCACTTTGTACAATATTTTGCATTAATAGAGGTATTAATTTAAATAATGGAATAGATAAAAAATATGAAGGTATTAGAATAATTAGGAAATAATTGTTATAGAATATTAATCTAAAATTAATAAGCTTAATTGGATGTTATATCAAAAAGAATGGTTTTAGCTAACAAATCCTATTTATAACTTAGAAAATGGATAGAAATTTAATATCATATTAATCATCCTAATGTTTAGAAATTATACTTCTATTGTCATGATTAAGAATATGTATATGTTATAAGAGAATATATGCCTAAAGGTTCTTTATTGAATTGGATTAAGTATGGAGATATTGATGAAGAACTTTTGAACTCAATTGCTAACTAATTATTTAGTGTGTAATAATATTTAAATGAAAATCAATTATATTTAGATTTGTAAATTAATAATATCTTTTTTGATGAAAATAATAGAATTAAAATATCAAATCTTGAAGATATAGAACATAAGAGTAAGAAAATAAATAACATTTAATAAATTGGTTTAATATTATATGAATGTATCTTTAAAAGAAAGTGTAGATTTGATTATGTGATGCAAAATGATTAAGTAATTAGATAACCAAGAGTTCTAATAACATAAGAAATTAAAGATAGTGTTCTAAAACTGTTATAAGAATATATTAAATGAATTAATAATAATATTACTGTTAAAATTATTAATATTTTTGATACGCATTTTCTATCTTTACATAAAACACTTATAATTTATAACAAATTAATTAAAATATATGTAATTTATTGATTCATATTTAATGGACGATTTTCATTTGAAGTTCCTAAACTTCTTTTCTGAAGTCAAAGGAATCAGAAATATTAGATTTAATTGTATTAGAGATGAATTCAATCTAAATAATGATACTTTTCCTGAAGATTAAGAAGTATTCAATATTCAGCAAGCTAATAAACTTAATCTACAATCTTAACCTAATAAACCCAAAAAAAATTGGACTGATGATGATAAAAAGGTTCTGATTTGGTTAGTGGGTAAATGGGTTACATAAAATTAAAGAGATATAGACTTAATAGTATAAATTTAATAGTCTATCTAAGAGCGATTCTGATTGGAATGTTATTGCAAGTATGATGCCTCGTAGAGATTCATTTGCTTGTAAATAAAAATGGTTACAAATGTTCAAACTTCCTTTGTAATAGGCTCCTTGGACACCTGTTGAAGATAATATATTACAAACTATTATTTAAGATTTTGAAAATTAAAATAAAGGAAACTAATGGAGTTAAATGGCCTAGATTCTCAACAAAGTAAATAATTAGTAAGTCCATAGAAATGGTAAATAATGTAGAGAACGTTGGAATAATCATCTTAATCCAAATATCAATAGGTACAGTAATTAATTATATATATAAAAGAAATCCTTGGTAATTAAGTGAAGATTTAGATTTAATGTGTTAAGCTAAAAAGTTAGGAAAGAAATGGGCTTTGATATCTAAGAAACTTAAAATTGCAAGAAGTGAAAACAATGTAAAAAATCGATTTAATTGTTTAATAAAAAAAGAAAGAAATAATAAGTCTGGATAGAATTTGTTAATGATTAGAAAGAAAAAAGAAAAGGATGAAATTAATTCTTAAAAATCATCTATTTCAAATTTACAATCATCTGAAGAATTAAGTCTCGAAGAAATTAAACTGATTAATATAATCATTAAAAAAATTGAATGCCGTATTAATTAAAGTGACAATCTTAAATAAAAAAAAGAAAGAAAAGAAGAAGTTAAAGAAGAGAATTCAAAATCATTAAAGAAAGTTAAAGGAGAATAACATAAAGAATTCTACAAAGAATTTAAAGAAAAAATTTAACATTTATATAATATGAAGAGTCTTTAAATTAATTTAATAGGTTCTGATCTAAAAGATGATGAAATTACTACTCTTATGCCATGTTTAATTCATTAAGGAAATCATCAAATTTATTTTGCAACACCTGAATAATTTTATATCTACTTGAACTAATGTAGTGAAACTAATCAATTAGGTATATCATCTGAAAATTATTTGTCTATTCCAAATGGTTAAGGATCTTTTATGTATGATCATAAGATATTTCGATCTAATGCTATGCTTCAATCTAGGGAATATTATTAGGGTTAATATGGAATCTTCAATTAAAGATCATAGGTCAATCAGAATCATGTAGGATACTGTTCTAGTATTAATAGCCTTCCTTATTAAATTGGTTTGTCTCCTTATCCATCACATGCTATTCTAACATATTAATTATAAAAATGATAATATTAAAAATATTATAATGTTTGATAATTTTATTGATCAAAGAATTGCTAACGAAGTTGATTTGCTAAAAAGAAGAAAAGATAGAGTAACTAATTAAAACCAAAAAGATAATAATTAAGAAGATGAAGATGATTTTGATGGATATATACAGTATACTCATATAGAACATCTAAAAGAGTTTAAACAGGTTAGAGTAGGTTTTGAAGGGAAATCTCTTTCAGAATGGAAAAGTGCTTTATATTATTTCATTATTGAATACTAAAATTATCCTATTTAACCTGTGAAAATAAAATTTCCAAAAGAATTCAGACACTAATACATAATACAAAATACAGGTATCTATTGTCTTCCCGATCTGAGTGAAAGGTATTAAAATATATAATATATTATTAGAAACTGGAAAAGGTCCACAAATTTAGAATAAATTATTAATAGAGTTATTTAAACATTTCATGAAATTCCAACATATTCTGATTATCCTGTTGATTTAAGTTTTGTATAATTAAGCTTAAATAAAGAAGAATACTCAATCGTTATCAAAACTAATAAGAATTGTGCTTTAAATTATACTAATAAAATTAATGAAGAAAGATAATATCTTGAATAGAAAAAAAAATAACTAGAAATTATGGAGGAGAATTAAAGAAAAAAAAAAGAAGAGGAATAAGCTAAAAGAATAAAAGAGAATGAAGAAAAGTAAAGGTAGCTTAAAGAAAATGAGTAAAAAATATATTAGAATTTACAACAATAACAAAATCAAAAAGAAATATAATAATAATACAATTTTTAAAATCCTTAGCCTTAGAACTAAATTTAATATTAGTAATAATATGATTAACATCAATTTATTAATAATAGAAACATGAATCCTCAAGTTCCCTATCAACCTATCGCTCAAATGAATGTCTAAGCATAAGTAAATTAAGAATAATAAATGATAAATTAAGGCTTTAATCCAAATTATTAGTAATAACACATCATTATATAACCCAAAAATCAATTTTAACCAATTAATAACGAATAATTTAATTAAATATAGTATCCCTAACCATAATCACAATCAACCACAAATCCTAAAATTAAATTTATACCTTAATCATATCCCAATAAGTGAAATTTATAGGTATTTCCAAGTTTTATAAAATATTTACAATCATTTTTTTCTAATATTCTATATTATTATTATATCTTAAATTCATTTTCCAATACAAAATAATAATCATTTTTTATTTTTTGATCTTATTTTATCAACTTTTAAATCATATCTTTATAATTCTTAATCTTAATATATAAAAATTCATAATTCAATACATCATTTAGTAATATATTATATAAACATGTATATATATGTATATTTAGAAACAATATCCTGTTAGGACAATAAAATAAAACCTTTTATTATTTTAATAGAATTAAGACTTATTTTTAAATTAAATAAATAATTTAAATTATTTCTAATAAAAACTCAAAAATAACAACTCTTATATCATTAAATAGCAATTTATAAATTTTCCCATTTTTCTAATTAAACTCTATATATTAAATGTCTTATTTATTTATTATTATTTAAGTTTTCTATTCATTTTGTGAAATTTAATATTTCATTTACTTAATAAAAGGTTATCATATATTTTAATACTTTATTTGGATAAAGATAATTATTCTCATCTTCTAATCAAGCATCCCCCAAAGAAGGTTCTAAAATCTATAGATTAAAAAAATTAATTTAGTATATAATTTTGAGAATAATTATTAAAAATATAAATTATATGGCAAATCTGATTAATTGTACTAATGGATATGTCTGTTTTGAAGGATTAGTAGAATTCTTATTGAGTTTATTCTATTTATTCTATTTAATAATTAGCTACAGAATACTTAATAGAGATAAAAGTGGAGTTCTGGTTTAAATAGATAAGTACTTATGTTTAGCTGCTTTGGTTCAAACATTTTTATAAACCATTTATTTTTTATATTTCGGTAATATGGTATAATCTATTAGTTGTAAAGATAATGATTTTTTATTATCAACAATCAGATGTATGGGAATAGCCATGTAAATTATGATTTGCAGTATTTTGGGTGCAATTATAGCTGATGAAGATTAAACACCTAAAGTTTGGTATTTAGCTAGAGCCTTGTTAGTAGGCACTTTATTTTTATGGATTTGGTTTGGTATTTTTCATAGAAGTGCAATAGAGTAATTAATTATATTATTTTGCTAGTTATAATTGTGTTTAAGTTGATTATTTAATACTTTCAAGTTTTGGATTGTTTTTAGCTTGTGGATCATTTTATATGGGTAATTTTGCATTGGAAGGCATGATAGAATATTAGAATACATTGGTTAACTAATTATTGTTATTTTATAGGATGTAGCAAGATCAGGTGCTATTTAAGTTTAATAAAATTCTTTAAAATATGATTAAGTTGTAATGAGAATAACATAAATTCGATTAATGCATTGTATATTTAATTATAATTAGATTGTGGATTATTATAATTTGGAATACAATTTGCATTTGATTTATTTACTTATCTAAAATGTAATAATTCAAGTGAATGCACTGACTATTACAATGCTACATCATTTCTTATGGTTTTATTTATTTCTTAAATTCTAAGGTTCTACTCTTAACTATTTTCAAATTGATTTCATTCACTATAATTCCTGCTACTATATTTTGGATATTTTATGAAATGAACAAAAATAAATTTTAAGAAGATGATTACAATTCAATTGAAATGAAGATGACTTAATGAAATCAATTATTTTCTATTATTAGTTAATATAAATAATATATAAGAATTTTAAATTAGATTCAAAAAACATAGTTATTATAATTGCTATTAAATTCTAATATCATTTCAGCAATCGATTTATTGCATTCATTTTAATTCATGACACTATAAACATTTTACTCCTTATTAAAAAGGAATCACAAAAATATTATTAATATTGAATTAATAAAATCTCCTTTCTAATTTTCAAAGCTAAATAAACATTAAATTCATAATTTATTCTAAATATGTTTTTGTTTTTCATTTTTATTCTGTGATTTCTAGTCTCAATTCTTGATGCTATAGGAAACTTGATTTTATCATATTAATTAATAATATGTTTAAGATCCTTTTAAAAGTTTTAATTTTTATTATTTGGTCATAAATACTGATAATAGATAGGAACTTATATTTTCTGATTGATAATCTGAAAACTTTTATTATTCTTCTATAGATTATTAATTAATATATTGAATAACTAATTAATGATCTAATAATAATCCACTATAATTAGCAGTTGTACTATTTCTTAAAATATCACAAATTAATTTTTCATTTGCAACTCTTTTAGTTAATATACTAATTGTAGATTCTTATTAAATTATAAGATATTAATCAAAGGTAATAAGATTCTTTATATAAGATTCATTGTCTCGAATTTATTCATTTTCCTCTAACATAATTGGTTTAAATTGAAATTCTTATAAATAAGTAACATTAATTTATTATTATTCTTCTGAAGTAAGTTTGAGTATTTATTGGCAAAAGGTAATCAATTATAGTTCTTTGTCTTATTTGCATTTTAATAATAGATTATTTGCTAATATACAATAATTTTTAATTGCTTTTATTAACATAGAGATGCCACCAAATTCTTTAAATCTTTCCAGTTATTTTATATCTAATAGTCTTAATAAATTAATATATTTGATTTTTAATTATGTAAAATTATAATCAGAAACATTTTATTCTTTTTTTAAGATTTATTCTTCAAAGCTCTATAAGATTAATCTAAAATGTGACAATATATTTAGAAGTTCAATATCTTCTGGAGAATATTTTTCAAAATCAAAATAATCTTATTAATACTACCTTGAATAAAAATTAAATATCACTTGAAACTTTGATATTTTAAACATTATTAATCATAACTTATTTTTAAACTTACTATTTAATTGTAATTCAATATTAGGTATTAAATTCTGTATATATTCTAATCCTGTTTAACAATTCTAAATTCTGATTTTTCCTTCCCATTAAAATATTAATAGATTGATTTATAAAATTGATAACTCTAATTGATTCATATGAATAGAATATTCCATTTTCTTAATTTAAAATTTGTAGAATAAGAATTTTAAATAAAAATATCCTTAATTCATCTTTAATTCATTTATAAAAAGATTCGTTTTTCCTTTATTATAATAAACTTAAGATTACCTCAATTAAGCAATAATCAAGAAGTATTTAGATTCAAATATAAAACTTAAAATAATATCATTAATATTATTTGAAAATGATATAAAGAAACCTTAAAAAATTTAGTCTCTGAAACTATTAATTTATGTCCTAAAAGTTAGTTATTATTTCATTAAAATAAAATAATGGTTTAATAAAAATAAAAATGGTAAAAGTTAAAGGATTTATTATTCTCTTTTTATTATTCATGCTTATAAAAGATGATTTATTTTTATCTTAAAATTTATATAATCCTCAACTAATTAAATGATTTCATACATTTAAAATTCTGGGAAACTATAGCTTTAATTATATTTCTTAGGTTATAATTTAAATCATTATAATCTCCATGTATTAATATTCCTATCTTATATATATGTGTTTATACTCTTAACATAATTTTAATTTTAATAAAAATATTACTTAAATGATAATTGTTACAAGAGTTAAATGGAAATGGATATTAAATATTCATGTTTAATTTCAAATTATTAAAATTAATTAGGTAAATAGTTTATGTTCAAACCACCACTACCAAACCAAAGATTATCAAGTAAAGCCTTAGATTAACCAATGATTCATGTTAGAAGCATAGGATCAAGCCAAAGTAATCGTCTTAACAGGACTTCGAGTGGTTCTCGTCATAGACCTGGATCTAGTTAAAGATCTTTAAGTTTCTCAAAAACAGATCTACATTCAAAATATGGAGTACCATTAGTTACAGCTCAAAATTTTATAGTAATGAATGGAAATGATGGTATAAATTTGGCAGTAATTCAATTAAATAATTAAGAGAGTTTTAATTCAAAAAAAAGAGTCTAAGTTGCTTCACTTACAAAGTTAATGACATGTTATGTAGCCATCTAATTAATTAGAGATCTAAAGATTAATATATATTAGATAATGTATGTTAGTTATGATGTATATATTTTAACATTTAAGGCTGTTTAAATATCGGGAACTTCAGCATTTTTACGTCCCTATGATAGAATTACTTTATATGATTTGTTACATGGATTAATGTTGCCATCTGGAAATGATGCTGCTAATGTAATCGCTGAAAACTTATCATCATTTATTAAAGACCCAGTTTCTAATATTGCCTTATAATACAGAATATAGCCATTTATTTCATTAATGAATTAATATGCACTTCTATTAGAAATGAATGATACTTAATTCTACAATCCACATGGTAAATTAATTCAATATTTTTAGGATTATCAAATGATCAATCCTTTTCTTGTGCTGAAGATTTGGCCATCCTATGTAAATAAATTATAAATGATCCATTGTTAATGGACATAGTGAATAAAAAAGAACATTAAGCAACTATTTAGAGAAATGTAGATAACTATATATATATATATGATTTTTTAGAATAAACTTATAAAATTGACTTGGGAAAATACTAATAAGATGTTAGAATTTGAAGGATATTGTGGATTCAAAACTGGATTTACAAATAAGGCTGGTCCATGTCTTGCTACATTATTTAAAAAAGATACCATTTGTATTATAATAATTATTTTGAATTGTCTATCTAAAGAAGTTCGGTATTAAATATTTATTATAAATAGATGGGATGATACAATAAAATTGTCAAATTGGGCTTAAAGAAAGTTAAGTATTAATTGAATTATAATTTAATTTAATATTTTTATATAGATATTTTTATTAATAATATTATTCATGCAAGCAAGTTTTTAGGTAGAGAATATTCATTCAAAAAATTAATTTCTAAATATTCTTTCATTTTATTCCTTTTGTTCTTTGGACAAATTAGCATCAAAGTAAAGATCTATAAATAAATATATTATTACTCTTTTGGCCACTCTGAACAATTCTTTCATGACTTTATTTGGAAAGAATTGAGAATAATTACAATTATTATCTGAATAAGGAAATGCATCATGTATGAGGAGCATCTTTTAAAATAAAAAAAAAATGATACTTTCACTACTTCTGTATGACCATTACTTAATGCATAATAAAGGGGAGATTTCTTATTTTTATCCAATGCATTAACATCAGCCTTAAATCTTAAAAGCATTTTTGTAATATCATATAAACCTTATTAACATGATATATGTAATGGAGTCATAAGAGAATTATCAACTTCATGAATAAATGATTTATTATATGAGAGATGTTTAAGTAATTAGTGATAATTTTTTTATTTTAAAGCCATAAACATTTATTTAGAATTATGTCTCAAATATGGTATCTTTAATTATGTAATCATGTATTTTTTAGAATATAAAGTATTATTGTGACGATATGAAAAGTTTTATAAAATTTAAAGTCTTGCTTTTTACCATTTATTTGTTTTATAATATACACTCTATTCAAGTTTTGATCTTTATTTTTTTTTGGATTCACTCCATTGCATAGTTTAAGTAGCTAATTTTTATACTAGATTTGAACTATTTTCATTATTTTCAATTTGTTCTGGTTTTATTAATTTTATTAATGGAATTTGGATATTTTAATTATGATCAACACTCATATATTCAGTTTTATTAATCATTTCACACATCTTTTTATAACTATTAGAACTAATTCCATTAAATTAATTATGTCTATCTTTAATATATTGTATGGATTCATCAATTTTATTCAATCTTTATTTAAAAATTAATCTATTTTCAGGACTTATACGAGAATGATGAAGTGAAGTCTTCAATATTCGACTCTATTTAATCCTACCTTTTAATGGTGATTCAATAATCTTTTCAGGTGAAGAACTTGTATTAAGAGTTTTAATTGAATTAGAGATTAATCCAATATATTAAATATGTTTTGGTTATATGATCTAAAAACGAGACTCAGTTCTTTGTAAATTTAATTGATTTAATTGCTGACTTTATTATTATTAATGTAAGCTATGAGAAAGTATTTTCAAGGTGTTTTAACTTCCTTATTAATGAGAGGATTATTGCTATTTAGTATGAAGAGAGTAAGCATTGCGACTACGAATTCTACTTTGCAACAAATCCTCCATCATTTTAGTATATATAATTATAATACTATAATCATTTTCCAAATATTTTAATAAAATCTCTATAAGTTATCTATCCATCACCGTCAAAATCTAATTCAGATATCAATAAATCAACATCTTATGCAGCAGTTTAGAATTGATTTGCCTATAAGAAATCAGTAATCTAATTATATTTATAGTCTTACATCTTAATTAGTTATTTATTGTCTATCATAAGCTAACATATAAAAGATTTCGCTTATGTCAAATTATTATTTGCTTTAGTAATCTTTAGTTTGATTTATTTTCTATTAAAATTATTCAATCAATTCGAATAACAATTTTAAAGATATTTCTGTTTGCGTTAACATATTTCCCTTATGTTTTTAATCTTTCTTAAGAAGTATTTCCACAGCCTATGGATCATTTGGTTCAACCATTTTGATATACTCTGAAAATCTCATCTTATTATCTTTTCCATAACGATCCAATATCAATTATGGATTTTTACAAAATTAATTAAAATCACTCTTTATCAAAATTCCTTTAAAACCTTTATCTAATTTTTGAAATGAAGAGTATAATGAAAAATCATCATGGTTGCTCAATAAAATCTTTTGACGTTCAATCTTTTTTATCAACTAGATTAAATTCAAAAAGAGTTAAACATAATAATTAACAGGTTCCAATGATTCATATTTTGCAATAGATTAAGTTTTCTTTAAAGTTTATATTTCATCCTCATAAAAACTTGTAATTGGTTTATGAGTCATTGTTTTATAAGATAGTTCTTATGTTGAGGAATGATTGCTATTCTATAATAATGAATAATGCATTTATGCTCTCACATCAGTTTTCTACTTTTGGTATTTCTTAGGTGTATTATATGAATAATTAGATAAAGGAGGTTTTGTTGATTAATAAAAGCCTTATTTAGATAAAGTTAGTAGATCACTCATTGTAGAATCTTATTATTTTCTCTTTGTTGAACTATATCTTGTACTATTAAATTTTTGTTATTATTTGTATGAATTAGAATTAATTTATAAAACAGATTTCCTTTGACATACCCATAAATTCCATTCATTTCTATCTATCTTTCCATCATTTAGTAAATCTATTCTATTGAAGATTTATTAAATTTCAATAGAATTTGTAGTTATATATTTTTGTTTGAAATAACTTTGTAAATCTTGATGATAAATGTAATTCTAATAACAAATCTTATCATAATAATTTGAATCAATCTATTATTTATAATTCTCAGCCTGTATAGTTAATTTTATTTCCCTATAATAATTGGTAAAACATATACGCTTCCATTAATTTTGCAAATAAATATTAAGTTCTTTCACTTATGATCATTTAATCTGAAGGTGTTTATTAAGTTATCTTTTCTCTTAAATCTGGATTAGATATAGGTAGAATTGCTCTTAAAAATCTTATATTGTATTTCATAATTACTCAGAATAAACTAATTTGCTATCTTAATTTTAATTATAATTCTCTATATATGTTTTTGTAGGTAGATTAGATGGAAATTTTCTATCACTTAAATAATAAGACAAATCTTGAGCTGTTAAATACCCCTATTTTATTTATAATAATTACTTTTGGTTCATCTTTCATACAATCAATAAATTTGAATAAGTTATAAGGTTGGAAATAAGGCTCAGAACATAGTACTTCTCTTAAAACTTCTATTTCCTGTTCCACATAAGCATAATAAAGTAACAAATCAGTTAATTAGTTATCAGACATTTTATTAATAAAAATATTTTTATAGATTATTAAAAAATATATAAAAAGTTTATCAATTAGGATAGATATCATTTTTTTCAAAAAATTTCTACTATGTGTTATTTAAATTTAATTCTATGTAATTTTAACTAAATTTATGTAAATAGTTATTTTTTCATGTTTTCTATGAAAATCAAAAATTTATTTTAATTGATATAATATTGATATTTAATATTAATGAAAATTATTCTAATTTTCAATTAGGTTATGGTTTAAATTCTTAATTGTTTTAATATGGCATAAAAGATATTGTTTTGTTTTGATTGTAAGTTCTTTTTTGATCTTATTAGTTCCATAGGTTGTTTTTGGGCAAAAAGTATTAATTTCCTTAATTTGATTAGAACTTATGATTAGGTGTCTAAATTCTATCTAAATTGTTAGATGGCGAATTCTACATTGTTTGACTAGGTTAATTTTATGAAAATTAAGGAGGTTCTTTCCTTAAATTAATATTATTATTAAATTAATTTATTAAAAATTTTGGTTTCTAATCTAATTTAAAATTATTTTAAAAAGAATTTGGTGAATTACATACAAAATTATTATAATTCTTATTATTTATGGAATTATTATTTTACATTTATGGAAACTATTATTAGTTTATATTTGGTTTCATATTTAAAAAAAATAAAGGTTATTATTGAAACAATTATTTTTTCGGTGATAATTGATTTTTAAGAGATTAAATTAAATCATCCATTTCTTTTCCCCAATTAATTCTTTTATTAGCATCTAAAATAATCATTTTATTAATTAAAGTTTTAATTGTTTCATCAAGTACAAGATCACTTGGATAACAATTTTCTATAATTTTTTTTTCATTAAATGTTTAGACCAATTATTTTATTTTATTCTCTTATGTATATTTTTATGTTGCCAAATAATAAAAAACAATACCTAGCTAAAATAATCATTTAAAAATAATAACTGAATAAATATCGCATTTATTTGTGTATGTACAGGTTCCTTTGACTTCTGGAGCTGCATAAAGGGATGTACCACATTTAGAGCAAGCTTCATCAGCTATACGACTAACTCCAAAATCAGTAATCTATTATAATAATAAAAATTTCACTTTATACTAGATTTAATTATCAATATTTTTATATAAAATATTTTCTGGTTTAATATCTCTATGGATAATATTCTCCTATTCCAAAACTTAATAGCCCTTATTAATTTATGATGCCAAATCTAATATCTCTAAAGCATCAAACTATTTATATTTTAAAAGATTTTCTAGATTTCCATCACAATTTTCCATGATTATAAGAATATGAGTACTTTCTGGTTCATGCAAAACTTCATGTATTTTCACTATATTAGGATGATCTTTTCCTTTAAATAATCTATTAATCAACAATTCTTATTTGCCATTAAATTCTAAATAAAATTCATTATTTTTTTTTGGTTTTTAAATTATTTTAATAAATAATTATTATCCATTTTCTTTTGATTTTACTTATTCATTTGGACCAATTTTTTGTATGGTTTGATAAAATAAGTCTTTAATTAAAAGTGACCAAGTTATTCTCTTTTAATGATCATAAACAATCATTCGACATAAGAAGTCTTTTATAATACTATCAATGTTATCTAAATTGAATATATCCTATAAATTCTTGTTTTTTAATTAATTTAAATTTTAAAGTTTTTATTTTGTTACCATTTCAAACAAAATTAATCCAAACTAAAATGTTATTAACTGTTTATTACTGAGTAAATATCTGCATTAAAACTATAATTATGCATACTTTATTCAGGAGCTTAATAATAACCCTAACTTTAACGTTTAGTATTTTCATCAATTGGTTAATCTCGATCATCCAATATCTTAGAATACTCAAAACCGCCAATCTAATTTAAATAAAATAATAATACTTTAAATAAAATATCATTATTATTTTGAATATAATAAATATTTTCTGGTTTTAAATCTCTATGTAGAACTCCTTATTCAATCAGTTATTAATAACCTTTTATAATCTATTTCATAAATAAGATGATTTATTAATTATTAAATCCTTATAAATTACTCTTAAAATAATGTTATAAATTTTAGCTGCAATTTTCCATTACAATATATGCATATTTAGTATTATCTTCATAAATATCCAATACATTCACTATATTATCATGTTGCTAAGTAAAAATTTATTTTAAAATTGACAAATAATAAGACTCAGTTTGACAATATTAATTACACTTCTAAATTTTCTTCAAGGAAACCTAAGTTTTATCTTTAATTCTAATTGCATTGGTAGTTTATTTTGTATCATCTGTGAAAAAAGTTTAATCATGAATTAAGTAACTGCTTTTCAAATTATGCATTAATAGAATTAACTATCAATAAAATGTATTAAATTTAATAATAGAAAATAAAATAAGAAATTTTATAATAGATGAAAATGTGTTAATGATTTATAATATAATAAGATTAAAATTTTCAATCAAGCATTAATTATCTGCCTATAGGTAGGGGTGGGACTTTAGAGAGTAAAGTTTTGCTAGTAGGAGTGATTTTTGGGGAATTTTCATCATTATCATTTTAATTATCAAAACTTTCTTAAGACATCATAGGATTTGTATCAACTGAATTTCTAATCTTTTTAGTAGAATTAGGAACCATTTAAATAGGAATATTATTTTATTAAGAATTAATTTATGAAATTAAACTAGTTGCTTTTGAATTATTAAATTTATTAGATATACTGTTTCCATATCTTTAATTAATCACAACTGAATTCTCTATTTATTTACTATTATTTTATGATGACTTTTATGATGATTCTTAATTTAAATTTCCATGAGATTAATCAATAGAATAGAATTATTCTGATTAAAAAGTGCACATATTATTATTTTCATTAATAGAAGGTTAAGAAAATCTTTTAGATTAAATATTCTTAATATCTTAAAATACATTTCGACTTTATTGAATAGATGATGGTGGTTATTATATTATTTCCTTTTAAATTGATTAGAAATTACTAGCACTACTTTCTTCAGAACTTATTTTATTTGATTTAAATGGACTAAAATATTTATTTATTTATTTTTACTTCTCAAATTAACTAAATAATATTGCATATTTTTATAATTCTAATTTCTTATCATTCAATTCATCTTCTAATCTTTCTATTTCTTTAATTTATTCTTAATTGCATTATAATAGATTTAACATTTCTAATTGTTACTATCTAAATTGTAATTAAATATCAAAAGTATAACTCTTATTTTCTTCTCCTATTTTTATTAAAATCTCTTTCAATATATCTTTATGACTCTAATTAATTCTTAGAGCTCCATCTAATCTCTCTCTAATTTCAAGATTATCATGATATTCTAATTTATTCATCTCAGTTATTTCATTTGGATATTGATGAAATTTTTAATATTATTCTTAAATTATTGAATTTAACTCAGATAATGAATTTTATATCTCAATCTATTCTTGCACATTACAAAATATATCCTAAAAACTATTTATATTGATTATTACCTCACAAACACGCTCTAGACACTTTTCTTTGTCTTCAAAATTAAAAGATGAACCCATACTTTATCTCACTTATATAAGTTATTGCAATGATTATTAGAGCTCATTTTTTGTGTCTTTAACTAATTGTTGTCGTGCAGCTAAAATTTAGTTCGATTTTTGAATTAGTTTTTCATTGATTGTATCAATTTATTAAGATGTCATTGTGTCAAATTATTCAAGAATATCTGATATTTCTTTCATTCTAGTAATATGTCCACATTTATTGCAAACATTTGGTAATCTGATTATTTCTATATATTGAAAGTAATATTACTTATAAGTAGTTCGAATGGGTTACGTAGTTTGATTTAAGTCTAAGACTTGCCTCTAGAGTGTTCTGATTATCTAGTGTCCATTGCTACTAATTATTTAAATTTATATTATTAATTTGAATGTGTTCGTTATATAAATACAAATATTTATAAGTATTGAAGGAAAATAACTAAATATTTTTATTAAAGTTATATTTTCTAATTGAATCTTATAAAACTATTAATCTTTATCAATTAATCTGTCAGAAATAGTAGACTCTTGCAATTCAAATAAAAGAAGAACTAAGAATTTTATGGCTAATAAATTATTATACATCAATATACCAATTTACTAAATTAATATATTGACTCAATATATAGTTTATTTAATAAATGTTAATCCTAATTAATTACTTTCGAGTAACAGAGGATAATCATTAAATTCAAATACTAATAAAATATAATATATTAGGAATTCCAGAAAGATAAATAAAATTATTATAAGGATGAAAATTAAGTTAATGGCAAAATAGGGTTTTCTTTTTTTTATTTGATATCTAAGATTGGTAATTTAGTAACAACAAAACTAGATGAAGATATAAATTATTATCAATAATCTATTTATTAATTAATTAAAAATGGAAATTAATATTAATGTGGGGACATATGATGGCAAACTCTTAGGTTTCTCATTGGATGATTAATTTTCATCAAATAATACTCTCTATTCATTTCCAGCCTCCACAGTACATTTACTTTATTATTTGAGTCTTTAATTAAAACAATCTTTTAGAATGGACGCTATTTATTTATTGGAGGTTCTGAAGAGTTAATCAAAGTTTATGATGTTAGAAGGAGAGTTGAAGTCACTTTATTAGAATAACATAATGGAACAATAACTTAGATTACAGGCCATTCGAATTTTCTATTCACAGCATCTGAAGATGGAAAAGTGAATTTATGGAGAAATAAATAATGGGCTATTCTTAATACATTTTAATGTGGAAGTCCTGTCATAAGCATAGCTATTCATGAATCAGGAAAGATCTTGGCATGTGCAACAAAAGATTAGAAATTACATCTCTATAATTTAATGAATTTGAAAAGGATAGCATTGAAGAAATTTCATTTTAGTATTTATTTTTAATATCTTAGATATTGATAAAATTCATTTTATTTCAAAGGAGGATGAAATCCAATATTTATTATTTCAATCTGACAGGAAATGCTATATTGTTGATTGTGAAACAAATAAAGTTACTCACACAATAGATTTTACAGCTTAGATAACAGATTCTATTTTAAATCAAGATTCACTTATTCTTTCAGGTATTTTTAATTTATTTATTCAAGATGCAAATGGAATTATTTATATGATAAAATTGACAGTGGAAAATTAACTATAAAGTAAGATTATAGTTAAATTTATGGCTCATTAAAAAAGAATTAAGTAATTATAATTATTTGATTTAAATGAATAAACATATTTGGCATCTATTTCATCTGATGGAGATATCAAAATTTGGGATTGTTTATTATATGCCAATGAATAATATGATGATATTGATCTAAAGAATAAATTAAAACCTATTTATACCATTAGAACAACTTAAAGATTAACATGTTTTTGTGTAAGTGTTGTATAAAGAAGATAAGCAGATTAACAAGAAGAATAGACTTAAGTTTAGAAAACTACTGTTGTTCCTATTGCCAAACAAATCAAAAAGCAATTGGTTAATAAGAAATCTAAGTAAATTGATTAGAATGTGAAAATATAAAAAGTTTAAAAAAAGATTCAAAAGAAAAATCTCTAGGTTTGATTTTTGTGTATAATAGTATTAAATTATAAAAATGAACCCTATATTATAAAGTGTTTTGAATTCTCCTTAATACTCTCGTTCAATTCCAAAAAAAGAATATCAATTTGCAAATATCTATAGAGTACCTACAAAATACAAAGCAATGTCATGGAAACCTTATACAGCAAGAGAAAAATCAGAAGATTATTTGGTTGAATAAATGAGGCCAAAAATAAGGATTAGATTACCGTCATTATAACATTAAGATTCAAGTGTGTCTCATTAATAAATGTTACCTCAAGAATCAGAGAAAGAGAAGAAAATAGAAATTACTACTAAAGTGATGTATTATTTAAGCAGAATGACTGGACCTGAGAATGCTTCGAAGTCTAAGAAATACAGAGAAAAAGAGATTCAATCTCGATTAATGCCAGGAGTGAATTCTTATGATGGACTTTATGATGAAATGTATGAAGAAGATGATAATTGATACTCAAAATTATAATAATTTATATAAATAAACTATGGGAGGTCATGGAGGATTGAATATACTTCCTTAAAAAAAGTGGAATGTGTACAATATGGAGAATAGGAATATAGTTGAAAGAGATAAAAGAAAAGAAAGAGAGAGAATTTAAAAGGAATAAAGAAAAGAACATAAAGAATAAGCAGGAAATAGAATATAGAAGCTTAAATAATAAAGAAGAGCTGCTTCTCATACTCCAAGTAGAAGTGTTAGTGAAAGTCATAGTAGAAGTAGAAGTAGAAGTCAAAGCTAAAAGAAATAAGGCTCATCAAAAATCAGTAAGATTTAATTATGATAATTTAGATAATGAATTAAGAGAAATATTGGAGGCAAAATAACATATAAACTTGTTTAAAGAAGAAGAATAATATTTGTTATAGAAAGAAAATAATTAAGCTAAAATAGAATTAGAGAAGGAGTTTTTTAAAGACAAACCATTTGATTTGAGTACTAAATTTTTAGGATAATATGAATAAATAAAACCATGGTATATTCAATAGAGGTAAGATTAACATTAAACTTAATTATAATAAAAGGTTAAGTAATAATTATAACATTTTAAAGAAAAATAAGATAATTATTATCAAATTTTGGATCTAAGTAAGAAATACTAAGAAGAAACTTTGATTTCATAAATTGAGACTAAAAAAGAAGAAGAAACAATTAAGAGAGAAGAATAATAAGATTCAGCTGCTATAAAAGAAGAGAAAAGAAGATAAAAGAAATTACAAAAACTTGGATAATAATTGTAAGAATTATTAGGTAGTGATGATTCAGAATTAGAAAAAAAAAGATAAAAATCAAAAAAAAATGAAAGAGAAAAATTAAGAAAAGAAAGATTGTAAAGAGAGAAAGTAGAAAGATCTAGGGAATAAAAGCTTTTATCAACTATTTATGAATTCAAATAAAAATGAAATTTTAATAATTATTTATTATCAATTCATCCATCAATTTTTATTCTTTATATTAAATCAAAATATACAATATCTTGAATATTTTTAATAAATCAAAGTTTCTTTTTCATAAACTTAAAATATTATCAATAATAGTCTTATGATAATAGATATTTTGAAATAAGTGTATTAATTTATAATTAAATTATCATTTTAATTATATATATTTTATTTACATTCTTGTCATAATTTTTACTATATATATATATAATAATAATAATAATAATATGTTTTAAAATGTACTAAAATAATGTTATTGATAGATTTATTATTAATTAGATGTTATAATTGATACAAAATATTATTTCAATTTGATGCATTTATAGCTAATGGAACTATAATATAAAGCAGTACGGCTAACACAATAAGACCAATAAGAATTTTTAATTTCATATTCCTCCAATACATAATTTTAGCAAGTTCATGAGACTATTATTGGAACTGCTTGGATTAATTTTTGAGATTTTCAGCCTTTTCATCTAAATTCTATGAGTAGTTTTGCAAAATATACATCAAGCTATTAACCATTATTTATCATATTATGTATGTTTTCTTCCATAACAATTTGAACCTCTTCAACTTTTTATTATGCTGCATAAACCTAAGAAAGTAAGAGTAAATTTATTACTTTGTCTACTCCAGCTAAATTATCATATTTTTCATGTAGTTATTTCATCCAGATTTTTGCATATTTTTCAATATCATTAGGTTATGCATCAAAATAGTCAGGCATTTTTTTTAATTCTTTTTCTATTTCCTTAAAATGATTACTACTATATCTTACTCTTATCATAGCATTTATTTATCTATCAGGATAACTCTCTGTAGCAAGTACTAATGTAAATACAATTTGTATACACGCATAAGCAATTTTGTTCTCATCAAGTTTATAACGCCAAACTCCATTAGCAGTTTTTAAAGTAACTCTTTCTTCTGCTCTTGGATTTATTTATGACATATGTTCTAAAATTATTTGATAATCTTAATCAATCTATATATTTTCAAATTTTAATTTACATTCTTTTTATTATATGACTTGGAGAAGAGTAATTGATGATCACTTACTCTTATAATCAGAACTGCTTTTATAGATGTCATTAATGATAGTTATGTATTTATATATATTATTATAAATATATATAAAATCTAAACATTCTATTTGAATATAATCTATTTTTTTTTAACTGATAAATGCTAAAAATTGAGGAATATGTTTGTAATTTAAAAGAATCTAAGACACTATTTAATGATGCTTTAAGAATTGATACTCATTAGTCATTGGAGTCATATGATAATACATAATTGTATTATAATTTAGTATTTACATTAGTTAGAATCCAATCTATAATATTGTACCACCTGAATATTTTTAAAGTGTAACTGAAAATAAGTACTCTAATATCTTTAGTTCTTATATTTAATCTCCAAAACATGAAGAACTTTAATCAACAATAAAACAAACACCAAAAAAACGAACTTTTTCATTTGCTGAATCTTAATACTTAAACAAAGATCCTGCATGCAATATTTCAGCTGATTTTGGATAAAATACTTAATTACCAGCATTAAGTGAATTGAAATTTTACTCTAAATTTAGTTAAGAGAATAATTTTAAAAATATTGACACTCCTAATAAAGAGAGATGGTAGTTATAAGATTCAATGTTGGTTTTAAATAACAGCATACCTTAATCAAAATTTAGTTCTCCTTAGAAAAAATATGATAAAGTTCAAAAATTTAAAATTACAAATTATAGTTTGGATGCAAAACAAACTTAAACAACTAAAATAACTTAAGTTACTAATATTAGTTTATAAGATAACAATAAAGAATTCGAATAGATCTTTAAGGAATGTTAAAATAATTTTGAAAAGAATAAGGCAAGGAAAACAGAGGAATACATAGCCTGTAACATATAATGAAACAACTTATATGTATATATAAATATTCATAATCAACTTAATATTTTTAATACCTTTAAAATGATTAAATTACTCATATGTACATTTTCTATAAAATTACATTTAATTTATAATTTATTCTATGTAATCTTCATTTCCTTAGATATCTTAATCATGAGTTAAATATAAGAATTGATTCATTTTAAATAAAGTTAAAATAGAATTCAATTAGTAGAATTTACTAATTAATTTGAAAATTAAAGGTTTAATATTCATTAAGTCTTAAAATATTTAATAATAAATAGAAAATAATTATAAACAAGATTAGATGGTTTTCAAGAGAAATCAGAATATTGACAATAAAAAAATTGTTATATAATATTATTCAAATTATTTAAGATTTTTATTAATAAAATGTTATGAATATATTAATATCAATCTTTTTAATACTTATTAGATGAGATTATTGAAATCTTTGATATGATAGTAAATATATTAGAATTATAATTTTTAAAGAAATTTTATAATAATTTTTATAATATTTATCATGCTTTATAGATATATGTATCTAATTAACCTTCCTATCTTATTAAATATTCTTTTTGAATCAAATTTTCAATGCATTCCTTAAAAAAGGGAATTTCAACTGGAAAATGTCTGCTTTTAGCATCTTTATCAATATATTTAAAAAGATCTTTATGATCCAATTATTTCTTTGTCTTGAGAACTCTTACAATCAATGATTCCAAATATACTCTTCTATCTAATACAATTTCTTTTTAATTTATTTAGAATTCTGATTATTTAGTTTTGGATTTAGAACATATAGCCCAAGATTATGTTTTTTTTGGTTAAACCTTAATTTTGTAACTTCGATGTTGAAATTTGTAATTTAATTATAATGAATTTTCTTCTTCATTTTAAATTAATATTTTAAATAAAATAAGATTTTCCAATTCTGATTACATAATATCTTAATCAGTGTTTGTTAATTTGATCAATTAATCAACTTTATATACTCGTTATTTATTGAAATGCATTAATATAGTAGCTTGTAATACAGAACATACAAAATCTTTCTTACAATTTGAATCAAAAGTAGCTTTAAGAGATACAGAACCTAGTCCATAATTAAATGTCAATTTTCTTTTTTAATTTTTACTTTAATAATATTAAGTGAATTATTATTGCCATTAAAATAATTCTGTATGAACTACAATAGGTTAAGATTCTTCAATTGGCCATTATTCAGATGTAAGAACTAATATGTCTAAATCAATTGTATCTCTTAAATTTGATGACAATTTCTATCTAAACTTTTAACTATCCTCGTTACTTCTTTATAAATCATTAAACATAGTTTCCATCTTATGAGTCAAAACTGAACCACATTCTAATCTTAATTTTTTTAATAAATCCTTTTCTACTTCCAAAGAACTAGATGTTTAATCTAATAATCTAACACATAGATATTTCCTATAAATTTATTCAAATTCATCTTTTGATTATACTAATTTGAATATTAAAAATCCTTTATCAATTTATATTTTTTTTTCTTCATCTCTTAATGTCTCTTTTTTCATTAAAAAATCAAAATATTTATTTAATTCCATCATTATAAAATTGTCTTTATTAATGACTTACTCAAAAGCATCTAATATTAAAAATATGTGAAATACTTTTAATGGCTTTATGAAATTTATATTGATGTTCATTATTTCCATAACATACAATTTTATCATATAAAGAGAATATCTTTTCATATAATTTAATGAATCCTTAAAGAGTATTATCATTCTAATTCAACAATTATAAATCATCAATAATAATCTAAGATAAGGTTTTTATAAATAAATCAAATTCTTCACTTTTAACAAATAATTAAAATATCTTAATAATTATTGTAGTCTTTTCATTTTCAATAAAATCATAGAGTCCTTAAGAGATATATTATGCATTATAAGTGATATAATTTTTTATAAAACAATCTAAAACTTTTTAATGTGAAATTTTAGGTATATAACTTTCTACTCTCTCTACTTCATTCTAATATCTTTTTTCAACAAATAATATATATTCTTCAATAGTCATTCTATTTAGATTTAATTAACTTTCTTCTTTAAAATAGCGGTTAGAATCTTAAATAAGTTTACGTTCTAGAAAATATTTATAGAAATCATCATTAATTCTATAATCAATAATATAATTGTATTCTTTATTTTTAATCTATTATTCTTAATTGATGTCAATCTACAATAAATGAAAATTATTACTAGTATTTATAATGCATTTTTTAATTTAAAATGTTCGATAACTTAAGAATTTCTATCATTACGTATTTGAGTAAGAAAACAATTAAGTAGCTTTGTAGCTAGATTTTAGTCTTTCTCAAAACACTTAATTTTAAAACTTTCGTTACAAATAGTTTTTATAGTCTTAAGAGACTTCTAGAGTATATAAGTTTTTTCCTATTTTATACATTATAGAAATTTACCATATAAAGTAGAATGCCAGCCAATAATTTACTAAATTATTGAACTTCTTCATATGCCTTTACAAAATCATTCAATAATTAATCATCATTGCTAATGTTAAGGGAATAGATGAGTTTATCCACTATATTATGAATAGAAATTTGTAACTAAGAATAAGCAAAATCTCCAAACTTATTAAGAGTCAACTTATAACCATGTTGATACAATTCTTGGAAAGATAATTACTTAGCTATAAACCTCAATTAATTATTTTATACTTTGATGTTCAGCAATCAGATAACAAGCATCATCAAGATATTTCCATAGAGTTTTAGCCTCATCAGGAGATAAGTTCTCTTAAATAATTTTCTTCATATAAATTTAAATATAAAAATGTTTGATAAATTAGTATACTTATCAATCAATCAAAGTGGATATTTCATCAATTAATTATCTACGAACAGCTTCTTTTACATCTAAATCCTTAACATAGTTTTTTGTAGCATCAATATTAATGATTTTGAATTTATTATTAGTATCAGATAGCCAATCTTCATGTCTTTAATGTAATTTTCTCAAATAATCTAATGGCACACATGCTTCTTCTTATCTACCTCTACGAGTCAAACGTTCTAAACATGTTTCAGGAGGAGTATTAACATAAATAACACAATCTACTAAATATTGCTTATAATGTTCCATAAGCCACTCATAAAACTCTTCATAAATATGATATTCAAGTTCATTGATTGTTCCATCATTATAACACAATTTGAAAAACAATTCCCTTGCACTTTCAATACTCCTTTCTGTAAATACAAGAATTGGTTCATCATCATTATTTGTAGATGGAGAAGAAAATTGATTATCAATTTATTATAATTTTTGCTCTTTCAATACTGCTCTTAATTATCTATCCCAAGCCATTAATCTAGATTGATAAGCATATATTTAAAAAGTGAAACCCCAACGTTGAATATCTGAATAGTACTTCTCAAGAATGTTAAGGTTGGAGTTACCATGCACTTTTTACCATTATTCTAAAGGCTCCATTAAGAAAATAGCCTTAGGAAATTCTTGTCTCAAAATTTCAAATAAGGTTGATTTGCCTGCACCAACATTTCCTTCTAATGAGACAATTATAAACTTCTTATCCATTTTATTTAATGAATTTCAAATATGCCCTCGCTTTCTTTTTTTAAGATAAATAAATACGCGCTATTATACTCAATTCAAATTATATATTCATTCTAATTATTTCTGATAATCGTCAATTATTTATATTAATCAATATTATTGATATTCATTAAAAAATATTTGCATGCCAAAGAGCACAATAGAATTACTACAATGATTTATATCCATATTTAAAAATAATCTCACTCTCGGAATAAATAACAATTCGATAAATTTAATCATACATAAACAAAAATCATTTGCCTATTATTTTAGTTAGTACAATTAAATACCTTAGCAATAATTTAATATGCTATCAAATTATTGCAAACAATGTGGCAATCGTCATGAAGATCAGGAATGTGCAGTAAACTCAACTGTGATTGAATGGAAATACGAAGGCGATGTTGTAACACTATATGGCTCATGGAGTCACTTCCAAGTTGGATATCCAATGATGAAATCCAAGCAACCTCCTTAGTACTTTCTTTTATGCCATTGTAGTTTCTTATAAGCTGAAATTAATCCCCCTTTACCTCCAGGTTACCATTAATATAAGTTCAATGTTGATGGAGTTTGGAAACATGATCCCAATGCAGATGTAATTTACAATAATTTCGGGACTTATAATAATTGGGTATTAAGAAACCACTATAAATATAGTTAGAAGTCGTACCAAGGAAGTTGATTCAAGTGGATAGTTCTGATGATCAAGAACCCAACATGGATGAAGATGTTCAGTTTAGATAAAACTATAAAGTAAAGAGACTCTTATCAATCTTAGTAAGACTTAATGAAAGTTAAAGTACGTACATATTTGGACTGGAATGAGATGTTTGTGATGGGCTCTTGGGATGAATGGAAACAACCAATTAAATTGAATAGGAAATTTTTAGGTTTTGCAAAGAAATACATCAATTATGCATATTTGCATCTTACTCCTGGTTCATATCAATATAAGTTTCTAATTGCAGGATAATACGTCTTTGATGAAACTCTACCTACAGTTGCTAATAATTTCTCATCCAAAAATAACATTCTTCATGTCAATAGAAAATAATTGCATTATCATCCCCAAAACTATGATAATGTCTATTTTACTCAATATCAGATCTAAAAGAAATATGAAAGAATTCATGGCTTGACAATGACAGGTATAGGAAATGAGTTCTACATTTTTGGTGGTCGAGGAACAGGCCATAATTTTAAAAATGATCTTCATATCCTTAATCCAAGAACAAAGGAACTCAGAGTGGTCGAGGATACAAAAGGACCAATTCCTGATCCAAGAGCATTCCATAAGTACATTATTCAAATTTATCTAGTGCAATTAAATATGGGAATAAAATAATCTATTATGGTGGACTTAATTCAGACAAAGTCTTTAATGATTACTATGTTTACAACACAACTTCCAAAACTTGGATTTAAAGCAAACCTAAAGGTTAATTACCATCTCCAAGAGAAAAAGCCTCTTTGACTTTGCTACCAAATTACCAATCATTAATTTACTTCGGTGGTTACTATTGTAGCCATGATCTTGAAGTATAAAAGACCTATAATGACATCTATTGTTTAGATCTAACCACAATGATGTGGACTCAGTATTTATTCTAATCTAAATATAGTTATGATCTAGATGAGTATGCACTCAAACCTCCCCCAAGATCTGCCCATTCTGCTACCCAAATCAAAGACAAACTCTATATTTTTGGAGGCCAATTGCTTCCTGAAGGACATTATACACCTAATTTTAATGATTTGTGGATTTTGGATTTTTCCAAAGAAGCTAGTTGGGCTAATTTGACTCCTGTTATGAAAGGTGAACCACCTTCACCAAGGCATGGACATTTAGGAAGTGCTTTGGCTGGCCATTTATTTATCTATGGTGGAAGAGGTGAACATTCAAATGACATTCTCGGGGATCTCTATCATTTCAATCCAGAAACCTTGGTTTGGTAATAGTTTTCAATTATAATATTAGGACTAAACCTAAAATACATGGCACTATTCCCATTCCAAGATGTTATTGTGCTGCCGATACCATGGGAAGTGGTAATGAATTATGGATTATAGGAGGACATAAGGGAAACATGATTTTCAATCAATAGTAATAATTTAATTTTTAATAATTATAGAAGTCAAACTCATGTTTATGTCATGTCATTTGAAGAAAAGGATGATGATGACATCTTTGGATCTCCTAAAGTTGTAAGTAGAAAACCTGAATTTGTAATGGATATCGTTAAAGCAATAACTAAATGAACAATTTTTTATTATATTTATCATTGCTTAAAAATAGGTATTCTATTAATGTATTATTTATATGATAAAAATATTGTTTAAGATTATTATGTATCAATCTTTCTTTTAATTTTCCTATTTACTTTTCATTTCCAATAACTTTTTCTTTTATTTCTTTTCTTTTTTTATTTCCTTCTTTATATATTTCTCTTCTCTATAATCATCTATTATTCCCAATACTCTAGATTTTTTTTCTTCCCTTTACATTACATCAAAACCAGCCTCTTCAATGTCATCATCCATATCACCCTATTTTCTTCCTTCTTTTTTTCTACTTTTATGAACTTAACATATACCTTTACAATTTTTTTAATTCTGTGACTATTTCTTATGGATCAATTTCAACATCTACACTTTCTGAATCATTAATAAAAGAATCATCAAGATCATAATCATCATTAACATGATTCATTTGTTTAATGTTTTTTTAAATACTTAAATCTTTGATTTAAGGTTTAATTGAAAAAGGTTTTGAAATTTTATTCTATAATTCTTTGATTTTATCCTTATTGATAGATTAATTAGTTTATTAATTTTTTATTTCTTTTGATTTTGTTTGCTCTTATTTTTATTTATCTTTATTTTTATTCTTTTTAGTATTTTTATTAGATGAACTTAATAACAATTACATAAGCTTTTCATCTCCAAGACTTTTTTTAAGTTATTATTTCTATTATAATTAATTTACTTATCCTTCAACTTAAGGCAATACTTTTTTTGATTCATCAACAACATCCTTCTTTATAGAAATTTGCTTGTCATTATTTTGTTGATTCTTCTTTTATATAATAATCTCATTCTATTACTCTTGTAATTCATCATCATCTTTCTAAATTACTTTTTTTTCTTTAATTATTGGCTTGTGTATTTTTAATGGCTCATAAGAAGAATCCTTTTCTTCTTTTTATTTAGTTACTTATTATGTAGAATTTGAAGTATTGGTTTTAATTTGCTTCTAAATTTTGTCATATTTAGCTATTTCTTATTTAGAATTATGTTTTTCAGGAACCTTATGTTTAACAATAAGTTCTTTTATTTACTTTTTCTATTCATCATGTTTCTTTGTTATGACATTATTATTATGTTTATTTTTATTGGGATCTTTTATCTTTAATTCTGGAATACTTTATTACTAAACTTTATGATGTGTATTAGATTTCAAAGTTTTATCTATTTTTGTTTTTGGTTCAAGTAATGCTTATAATTTACAAAAATCTTTTTATCTTTCTTCATTATTAGACTTAGAAGTGCTCTAAATTTTATTCTATGTTGACTTATTTAATGAAGAATCACCTTATGTTGACTTACTAATTTTTTGGATCTCTATCATGAATATTAATATTAATATTTAATGGCAGAAAGAAAAGTTCTAGTTAAATATTATCCACCTGATTTTGATCCAAAATTACTACCAAATAATCATCGTCCAAAAGGAAAATAAGATAATGTTCGAAATATGCTTCCAATGACTGTAAAATGCAATCATTGTGGTAATTATCTCTATATTGGCACTAAATTCAATATGAGAAAAGAAACTGTGTGGACTGAGAACTATCTAGGTATTTTAATTCATAGATTCTATTTTAAATGCACGTACTTAATCATATTTATTTATTAGTTATTGTTATGCTGAAATTACTTTTAAAACTGATCCTCGAAATCATGATTATATAGTTGAAGGAGGAGGAACCAGAAATTATGATCCATATAGAGATGCCAAAGCAGCTGAAGAAGTTCTTAAATAAATGAGAGCCAATGAAGAATAAGGAGATTCTATGAAATTCTTAGAAAATAAAACTCATGATTCAAAAAAAGAGATGGACATCTTAGATGCTATTGATGATACTCATTAACTTAATAGAAGATAAACATAATTTACACCTGACATGTTGCTTAAATAATTGTTTTATGATTTAGATGCTTTAGAATTATAAGAAGAATGGGAAAAATAAAAAGGATTTAAAGAATAATTTAAAGTTAAAAGATTGTCTGATGCAAATGAAAAAGAGTAATATATTAATATATTAATAATTAGGGATAAAACTATGCATAGTGTTACTCAACATTTAAAATAAGTAGTAGTTTAATAATAAACAAAATAAATTTAATAATAAGTGAAACCAAAGTTTATCAAAAAGTAAATATGTTGTGAAAAGGATGGAGAGAAAGTTGGTTTCATCAATAAAGAAGAAGAAAAAGATGAATTAAATATTAAATAAGAAACTCAAAATAAGATTATATCATTAGTAGATGATGATTATTAAGATTGAATTCAATTTTATAATACATCTATATTATTTAAAAATTCTAAATATTTTTATTATTTTATAGAAATGTATAGTATTTTAGTTATCTTAAATCGACATAACATAATTAATCTCTTAAAATTGATATATTCAAATGGTTAAATTTTAATTATAAAAAAATATAATAGTAATGAATTCTAAAGAAATGAAGTACTTTAAGATATTTAAAAATTGTGCTAGTCTAATTATAGTCTATTGTAAATTCTATGCATTAAAGCATATAATTAAATATAGATTATCATCATTTAATTATTAGTATAAATGATCAAAAAACGTATGCTTAATTTTCAATATATATCCATTTATGATAAGAAAAAGAGAACTTATAAAACTTAGCTTAGTTCACGATAAAGAATCATATAGATTCAAGGAATAAATGTTTTTATTCTTTAGATTCTGAATAAAAGAATGATGTACAAATTACTTTACAATATCAAATTGCAAAATAGAGCTTGTCTTCACATGTATATCATTCAAGTTTATTATTGTTCAATTCTTGGACATCTCTATAAAGAACTAATTAGCATTAAGGTTTGATAAAGATTTTGAAGAATGTTTTTGATTAAAAGTTTTATGTATTATAATCAGTCGAAAACAAGGTTCATGCCACCAAGTGGATTTCCCTTATAATCATTGGTTTCAATCAAGAGAATTAAGGAATTCTTCTAAATCTTATGTGTCATCAACATGGCACTCCATTCCCAAGAAGTTCTTTATCATGGGATTTTGAGCTTCAGCTCTTAAAGTTTCTATAAAACTAAGATCTTCATCAGCAGAACAATCTGATCTTGTGTTCTCCATTCTTTATAGAATTGGTTAAGATATGGTTATTGGTTTGATAAGTCTTTGCATATATATATAATAAATAAATAATAAAGTTTAAACTTTGTGATGCACTTATTCATTAAATTATTATAAGATATTGAATAATCATATAAAGAGTGGTTATAAAACTATACTTTTACCTTAGATTTTTAAGTTCCCTCTAAAAAAAAAGAGGTAATTGTTATTATAAATAAATACTGAATCCAAAATTGGAATACAATATAAAAATGGATTGTAGATATGAAACATTTTTTTAAATAAATCATTATTTAATATTTTATTAATCTTCATTCTCATATTTCATTCCTTCACTCTCTTCTATATATCTGACACTTCCTCATCAGTAGCTCTATCATTAAAGAATTCGTGTTCTAGCAACTTCTCTAAAAATATCCTTCCAACAAAATGACACTCTCTAAAAGAGATATTACCAAAATCTTGAATTATTTAAGAAGTTGTTGCCATAAGAAACCTTTGTATTTGTTCCGGAATAAATCATATTTTTTAATTATAGATTAATATCCACCATTAATCTTTTAAATTGAAATCATTTGTTTAAAATTGATGGAATCTCATAGCTATTAGAAACAATCTTACTCTCAAAGCTAAAATATCATACTAAAAAAAATTAATTTTCTCATTAATGTACAATTCTTCTGCAGCGTTATTCTCTAGTTCTTCCAAAAAATCTTAAATTTATTTTGTAACACTTACAAATTCAAAATCACGCAAATTTAGTTCATAATCAGCAACAATCAATATGTTTCCTGGTTTTATTTCACAATTAATAATCCCAGCAGTATGAATAGTCCTTAATATTTTAATTAAAAAAGTCAGAAAAAGTCTATTCTTAAAGTAATGGGAAAGGTCTATGATCTTTAAAAATGTTTCATATGAGATATACTCCAAAAGAACACAAATATAATATACAAAATTTCCCTTAAAATGTTCCTAGATTATCAATGCATTTAAATATTTTTATTTCATTCTCTAAATAAAATGTAAAAATTCTAGGTATTTATGTTATGATCTTGTGATAGATTAGTGAAGACTATTAAAGCAAAAATTTCACTTGTCTTCTTATATATAGCGATATAGACTCTTACATTATGTCCTTAACCTGGTGGATGGTTTCAGCTGTAAAAAACTTTTAGAAATCTTGTTAATTGAGAACAAACGCTTTGTTATTCTATATTTAATCTAATTTTTATGATAATCATTATTAAATTAAATATATTTCCATTCACTACTTTTCAAAGATATTATATTAAATTTCTATATTACTTGAAATTTATTAAAATATTTATACTATTATACTCCACATATTTACATTTACATATATAAATCATTAAGTCTTCTACACAATTTTACTCTATTTTTACATTACTGAATCATTCTATTTTATGTAAATCATTTAGGTTCTGAATGATGGTTATAAGAATTTCTTAAGAAATTTAGTCAAATTATAAATTAATCTGTTATTAAAAACTGATCTTTGGCTATTCTTTTATTACTACAATAGCATAAAAACCATAAAATATAATATGAAATCCTACTCAATTGTTATATAAATTATAAAACACTTTTGAAATAAGCCTCTTTTACACTTATTCTAAATTATATTCATACTTTTATACAGATATTTATAATTCAAGAATTGCCACAATAAGAATTTCGACAAAAACGGGTGATTAGATAATTATATGATTTTATTAGCAGTATATGAACCTTTAATATTGATCCAAATAAAATATAAACTTAATAAAAAGATTATTTTAAATTCTCTCATTTTTAGAATGATTTATTTAAGAAATTTAATCAGAAAATTAAAACGACAAATTTTTTTGAAATATATGAATAACTTAAATTTATAATATAATTATATTAAATTAAGTTAAATTATGTTAAGGATTAATATATGTATAGAAAGATGTTCAAGTTCAAAATCAGTAAATTTTTAATGTGCTCAATCTTTATTTTGACACAGGATCAATTGATCCTTTTTTTGAGTCGACTTTACCCTTCCCCATTGGAGAATTTAAAGGTGATGCCAATGGCGATCTAAAAGGTGATCCATAGGCAACCCTCAAAGGGGAAACCATTGGTGAACCTTATTAAAGAATTTTAGTAGGAGATCTCATATTATCTTTAAATCCAGAAAAACATCTGCAAGTATTGATTGTAAGCCTGTTATTTCTCTGATATCTTTAAATCCATGAACTGGAGAGTATTTCTGTAGCTGAAGGTCTTTTACTAGTATCTACTTCTAACATTAGCTTTATTAATTATTTGCATTCCTCACTAATTCCATTTTTGATTAAAATTTATCCATTTTTTGGAAGATCATTGTGTAGCATTTCCTAGAATGTATAATAAGTAAAATACATAAAGTACTATTCCTAAACTCCATATATCTAGTTTTTCATTTTAAAATCCTTTTTTAATAACTTCAGGTGGCATATATTCTATTGTTCCACATATTTAAGGTGTCACAAATCCCATTTAAAAAGATGTACTCCATGTAAAATCAGCCAATTTAATTTAGTCTTCTTTGGTTAATAGTAAGTTTGATAGCTAACATAAAGAGATTAACATACTTTAATATCTCGATGAAGAATTTTATTAGAATGTAAATATTGTACAGCTTATACTATTTGAATAAAATATTTATAGGCTTTTTCCTCTCTTAATGGCCCACTTAATTGGATATTTGTAAATAAGCATCCTCTATTACAATATTCAAGCAACAGATAGAGATATTCATTATCTTCAAATGCATCATCCATTGAAACAATATTAGCATGAGACAATTTAGATTAAATGTTTATTTCATTTCTTAAATTTACTATATCAGTTGGACTGAGTGATTTTTTGTTTATCTTAAATAATGAAATATAATATTTTTTTACAATTTTTGCAGCAAATTGGCTTCCAGAATTTATAGCTTATGCTAATAATACTATACCATAAGCCCCTTTACCCAGAATTTTATCATAAATTATATAAGTTGATTTATTTCCCTTTACTTAAAATTATTAAATCATAATAATGAATTTAATCCTAATCTTTTAAGTTAAATAATAAAGCGGTTAATATTTGTGAATTGTTTTATAAATTTGATAAATTTTTATTTGACAAAATATATTAATTTTGTCTTTTCATTTTTTTGTTAGGATCTTTATTGTGACAGTTATAACTGCAATTAAACTGTAAAAATTAAGAAATTTTAATAGAATTTTTTTTATTTATAATTTATTGTGGTTAAAATTGAGGTAAAAACTATATTTATTATTTATAATTCAACATTAACTATTTGTCTATATAAAGGCATCCACTATCTTTTTAAGTAATTCATTTTAAAGTTCTAATTTCTTTATTTTAGGAGTTAAGTTTCCTGTTTCATATTTAATTTTTAGTAAATGTTAATAATTTTACTAATTTTAATTATTTTCTTTCTTTAAATCATTATACATTATTTCTTATTTTTTTATATCTGCCATTAAATTATATATTATTTAATGATACTATTCCTTTTCTGCCAAAAATTGTTCTTCAATTTATGCTATTTATACTGCATTTGTTTATATTCCATCAGTATTCTTTTCTTAATTTTGAATTTTTAAATGACTTTCCTAAAGTTCCTAAGCTAATAAATGTTATGAAGATTATGAATGAATTGAAAGAACTTTAGATCTAGTAGTTATTTCAGATTAAAGTTTTTAATTTTGTAATTAAATATCATCAATTTCTTATTTAAGTTTTTAAATTTCTTAATCTTTTTATAAGGTAGTATCTTCTAATTTCTTTTCAACTAATGATTTTTAAATTTCTAATTTGACCACATCTTTTTATAATGTTTAAACTTATTAATTTAATTCTTTTAGTTTTTCTGAATATATAAATAATCTGCTTTCTAAAGTTTAAATATTATTATAATTTTCTTTGTCTTAAAAGATATTATTTAATTATTTTTTAGCAAAAATCTTACGTAATTCTTCTAATTCTTGTTCTTATTCTTATATAACACTATGTTGTCTAATTTAATTAATTAAATATTTTTATTTACCTTTATAAATATTATAATAATTAACTATGATCTGGATTGCATTAATGTTATTCATTTATTTAATTTACAACTATTTATTATTCTGCATTAATTATATTTAATCGATCAATTTCTGCAATTAATTCTTCAATTTCTAAAATTTATATTAATTATTTACATTTATTTAGTATTTTATTTTCTTCCTCCTTTGCAATTATAGATAATTTAAGGTTTTCCTCTGCTTTTTCAAATTATGGTAAAATTTACTCCAATTATTCTTTTGTCTATTTATACTTATCTTCAACATGTTCAATTATTTAAAGAAGTTCATATTTAGAAAAACTCAACTATATGATTTCATTATCATTTAGATTTAATTCTTGAAACATCTAATATTAATCCTATTCATCAATTTATAGATTTAATTATTCAAGTTCTGGAATTTCCTTAGATATCTATTAAATATATAGTTAGAAATACTAAAAATATGAACTTCAATAATTCATTTATACTATTTTCATCGAAATTTTTTAGAATATTAATCAACTTTTATAGTAACTCGATAATAGATTAAATCTGCTGTCTTTAAAATATGTCACCTTTTAAATCAATTTTATTCATTGAAAAACTGCAAATAACATCTAAAACTTCACTTACAAAACCAAGCCAATTAGATTAATCTAATATTATAGGTTAATCTCTTTTTAATAATAATTAGAACCATGTGAAAAAACTTTTCTAATTCATCTATTTCGAACTAGAATTTTCAAATAATTATTATAATTATTATGAAAAATTCAATTTAATTATAATAGTATTATAATTGATAACTCTTATTTCTTATTTCTTGTAATTCATTATAAGAAATTTAAGTTAACTCTTGAATTGATCCTACATATTTATTCATTAATTTTGTTAAAAAATAGATTTATAGATAGAATTTAATAACAAATTCAGTTGAATAATAGTTCAATATTCTATATTATAAATATTATTTCTTTATAAACTTGTAGACTTAAATCAAACAATTTTCATATCTTATTATTATTTTAGTTTTTGAATTCAATTTTCACAAGCTGGAAAGAATTAATAAGAAATATTTATATTAATTATATATCGTTTTAATGAATAAATTTATTTTTTTTAACAAAAATGATCTTCATTTGTCTTATAATTAAGATTTGTAAATCTTTTTTATCATATATATTTATTTTTATATATGTTGCTTTTTTTTAAGATTAGATTAATTAACTTAAATTTATCAAGAATAATTATTGATTTAGCTAACTTATAATATTTTAATTTAATCTATATAATAAAGAATTTCCGCAGAATTAAATACTAATCTATTCGCAAATATGTACTTACAATTTAGAAGGATCTACTAAAGTGTAATATAAGACATCAAATGTATAAGATGATATGAAATTATTTATATTATATAATTTTATAAGGATATAAGAAATCTATTATTTATATAAAAATTATTAAATAGCTATATAATATAACCACTCTCATTTTAAGCAACAATGATATTTGAATCCTTTGATTTCTTTATTAAATTTAGAAACAAAATTAAGTTTTATTGTATTAATTTAATTATTAATTTATTCATCATATAAGATAATTTATGATATGATTTAATATTTAATAGTTACATCATATATGAAATTCATATTTGAATTGAATCTTTTGATTTTGCTTAAGATTTATCTAAAATTATAAGACAATCATCGTATTCTTAACCTTAAGCCTATACTTATGGAATAAATCCAAATGCATAAGGAATTACCAAACATGGTGTCATTTATATGATTCCATAAAATACATTTAATATGTTTTATTTATCCTTTTCTATTGAATGTTCACAAGTCATTTTTTTGAATATTAGTATAGCAATTAAAATAAAGGAAATATATAATAATATAGTGATTAGCATTAACCATAGTACAATTTTAATTTGTTTGGCTGTTTATAATAATTCTTTTGGTTCTATAATTGTAGCTCTTGGATTACATAAGGACATTTTAGCAAATGAATCATAAACACTAAAATTTATTAATTTTATACGCTTTTGGATTCATAGTTTTAAACTATATGTATTAACTAACTCTTTAGAGTTTTTAGAGTAACTTAATTCCAAAATAAGCTGTAATTATAGTTGATGAAAATTGTTACACAATAATTAAAATTATACTCAGATAATAATATCTATATAGATTAGAAATAAACTTACTTATCACATGAATCTTTGCTAGACAAAATTAAGGCTAATACTTAAAATACACAAATTATTCCATAAAAAATAAATTGTAGAATCTTAAACATTTTGAAGCTTCTCAAAATAAGTGTTCCAGTCTTCACTTAATAGCATAGTTTTGCAAATAAAAATGAAATTGAAGTGAAAATAAGTATTTAAAAATAGAGGGTAATTATTTATATAGTATTATTTTCAGTCACTGCATATTGAATAACATGTAAAAGAGATTATATTATGCATAAAATCATTGGATTTAATTCTTGAATACTTATTGAAGACTTCATCATTCTACTAAGAGCTTTAACAGCTATAAGTGTAATTATAATGGCATATCCAACTAAAATTGAATAACTTATGCATGATATATTTGATTATTAACATTAATTTATTAAATTCATAATATTAAAATTATAATCCTCTATTAAAAAATATAAAGTAGATCTCTATTCCTTTTTATGTTCTGAATATATTATCTAATTATGTTAAAATATCCATAAAACTATTTTGAATCATACCTATCCATAAATTATTTAAAAAGATAATATTTGTGGTTATTTATTTTTTTTTAGTGAGGAATAAAGATAATAAATATGTTAATTAAGATTGAAAATCCTTTGAGAATTTATTTATTTGTTAAATTATTTATTAATATACTAGATAATATATATTTCACTTCTTCTTTCCTTTTTTACCTCCAGCAGCTTTATCGCCAGCACCACCAGCTGGAGCAGCAGCGGCAGCTTGAGCAGCTTTGGCAGCTTATTATTTTTTGATTGCTTCTAAGTTGGCTTTAATCTTAAAAAATAGTTATTATTATTACTGTAGCTTCATCCATTCTGAAAGTTTAGTGGCAAGTTCCACAATAATGTCTGTCAAAATGTTTGGCCATGTAAACACCTTATGGACATTAAGGACATTATTTGTGAGATCTTTAGACAACACCCTTATTATCAACATTGTATAATTTAAGGGTAGCCAACTTAATTTTTCGGTGTCTGTGCTTCTTCTTTTTGGGCTTGGCAAAATTCTTCTTCTTTTTCTTCTTTTTCTTACCTCCTTCTGCATCTACTGTGACATAATAGATTCTTTCTCCTGCCAAAATTGAGGATGCATTGACTAATTCTCCAGATTAAACCAATTGAACTTGACATGCTAATTCAGAGTTCAAAACATTCATTAATTCAGCTGCAGTACTCTAGTCTGCTAAGTTGTATGTTTTCACCTCTCCATTAAGGTGACCCACCTAGATGATCATTATACTTTTTAAAAAAAAAGATTTAATTTATATCTCAAATTTTCATAACTATGCTATATATTAATTCAACTCATCTTCTAATTCTTTTGAATATTTGTTTCCCATATATTTTATATTAACATATATGTTACTCATTACAATTGCTCTATCTGCATTCTTCTTATATACTATTTCATATATTCTCTTTCTATCCTAATATTATTCCTTAAGTTCATGTTTTTATCTCTATAACATTAATTTATAAATATTATTATTCAAAATCCAGCTCTCTAAATTTATCTAGTCCTTGTTCTCATATCTTTCAGTCTTTATTCATGATATTCAAAGTTTGTTTTGACTTCTTCTTTATTATCAGAATTAGGTTTTGTAATCACCTTTACTAATCGAGTGAGCATATCAGGATCTCTCTATCTTTAAAAATAAATAAATTAATTTACTCATTCTATTCAATCTTTTTAAGATCATGTTCTTGTTACTCAAGTAATCTTATTATTTTTTAATAAATACAATCTTTAAATTTTAGCCTCTTTTAATGTCTACATACGAAAATCCAAAATATCCTATGAAAATACTCCAAACTTTTCCCATGCTTAAGATTTTAATAAATTTAATACTCTTTCCCATACTTTCATAACGTTTAAATGCCACTTAAGCTCTTTCTTTCAATTGACTTTTTATTTCTTCCCTTTAAGCAGCTGCCTTATGATAAGACTCTGTTCTTCTTGGCTTCTTGAATTTCTTGTTTTATGCTTCTTCTCCTTTAAGCCATGTCTTATAGAGATATGATTTAGATATGCGTTTTGCTTCACCTTCAAACATTGCATTAGAAGGGGACTCTCGAGATTATTAAAGACCAAATCTATGTAATTCTGATTAATTATTATACTATTTAATTGTTTTATTTGATTTTGTTAATATTTTGCTGTCCATTTATTTTTTTGAATCAATTTCAGATGATTACTCCATATTTTTATACATAGGTATCTATTTCTCAATAAATCTAGACTTGAAACCCCTAAATAATTTAAAAATATAAAAACTCTCTAGGTTTATGCATTGTTCTTGTTTATGTTTATATTAATTCATCTTCATCTTCTCTTTAAATCAACTTAGCAAAGTCTTCTTAACTGAAAATTGGTTATTTTGTCACATCAGTCTTCCTAAATTGTCCCCATAAATAAATTACTGGATTTTCTGTTTCATCGTTGTATAGTCCTAACCAAAGTTTGCTGCATGTCTATATTCAATTATGTACGCGACTGCACTTCCTTTTTAATTTATTTGCACATCCTCTCTTATTATCGTATCAATAATCCAATATTTCCAAGCATGTCTTTTTAATTATCTTGGTCCTCATGCTTTTTTTGTTAAACAATTAATCCAGATTAATTTTTTTTCTCTACAATAAAATATAAGGATCATACTTTTCTATTACAATTATTTTCTCATTTCCATTTCTTGTTTTATTATGTCTTTTCCTTTTTTTGTTCTATAATTTTTGAATTCTCCTTTCAATTCCTCAAAACTCTCATTCAATAAATCATCAGGATTGATATATTTCTCATAATCTGTCTATGGAATATTTTGATCAAATGCAAATGATTTATAGATCTTCATAATAAAATTAATATTATAATAATTAATCAAAAACATCAGAACTAATTGTACATAAGTGTAATTTATCTATATAACTATATTACTTATTTAAGAATGTCGAAAAAAATAAAATATTTGGAAAGAACTTAAAGAGACTTAGTACATTCTAAGTTTATTATTGATTAAAGATACACTTAAACTCTTAAACCTTAAATATCAGATTGGTTTAAAAAGATGAAACCCCTTCCAGGACTTTCAAGAATATTTTAAGATTACAATAAACGCTACTTTACTCTAAATCTCCTTGAAATAACACTCTATTATTCCAATAAAGAACGTTACTCTCTTAATGATATCACATATATCCCATTTGAAGTATTATAGCTATTCATTTTAGGAAGTACAGTCTGTCTCTGATAAACCACATTATGCTCTATCTAATTAAGGAGTTGAGTGGAAAGAAGCCTTTGGATTTACAATTTATTTGACCGATAAATATATTGTATTGGTGGCATAATCAAATGAAATTTACATGTTATGGCTTAACTATTTAGAAGCAATTAGATTTAGATCAAATGGAAAAAGTATATTATAAAGACAACGAACCCCTTATTATTCTAATTTATTTGCCATCAATCTCCCTGACTTAAAAAACACCTAATTCTAATCACAAGAATTGAAATTGAAAAAAGAGTAATCCAATCCTGAATCTAAAGATCTAGATAAACCTATTTATTAAACAAAAGATGATAAACAATTAGCATAAACACCTGATAATGAAGACATTATTAATCATTAAGAAATAGATCAAAAAGGTTCTAGTTTATAATTAGAGTAATTCAAAAATTAAGATAATTGCATATATTCTTAAAATATAATTTAAGACTATAACATAATAGAAATAAAAGAAAAATAATCTTCTTTAGATTAGTAAAATGAAGGAAAAAATAAACCTATCATTTAGAAAGAAATAGAATTAAAAGCAGTAAATATGGATTTTTTAGAATAAGAAACCAGTTAAATTACAATCATAGGTCATCAAAATGAATAAATAATTTTATTAAATAAATAAGATTAGCTTATTTCAAAAGATGATGAAGAAAAACTTAGTTATTTACCATAACCTAGAAGATTAGATAAAATAAAGAAGAAACAAAGTTTAAATAATCATTAATAACCAATTAAAATTACATAAAAAAAAACTATTACAAATATATGGGGAACTTATGATAATGATATTATTGAAGGAACAAATAATAATGGAAATATTAAAAAAATTGATTAAGCACCTAAATAAATCTAAAGTTTATTTCTCAATATACAAGAATCACATGATTAAATCGAAGATAACTAAGTTGATTAACCTGAATTATTAGTTAAATTTGACGAATTAGATTCATCAAGATGGACAGAATAATAATGAAATTCATTTTATATTTTATGATTAATTTTAAATCCTTTCTATGATATGATATGATTATTAATAATTATCTAATATATATACTAATGCAGTTATGTCAAATGATATATATAAACATATTCTTTATTAAATAACAATCATATTTTATAAAGATTAATATTAAATTATTAAAAATGATAATAGATGTATGGAATATATTTAAACAATTAAAAAATTTTAAAAGTAAAGTTAACAATTTTCTATATTAAATTTTAATGTAATTATATCTCTTTTGAATAAGGGAATGTTACTTATAAAATTTAATTATCAATCTAGTTCTTTTTATACATAATAATAAATTATCCAATTTTATAATATTTAATTATTAGATTGTCATCAAGTCTTAACCAACTATTTAAAAAGGTATATTTTTTTTACTCAAATAAATTATCATATTTTAGAATATATATATAAATAATCATCAAAAAATTAATTAAAGAAAATGGATAATAACTAAAAATTACAAATAACAATAAGTGCATTTGGTAAATTTGGGAATGTAATCACAAATCCTACAAGTGTTATTGTGTCAGAATTTACAGAACAATTTAAAAAAAAATATAATATAATTCATTCAGAAGTATTAGAGGTTTCTACAGTGGCTTGTTAAGAATATTTGAATAAATTACCTAATCATACTTTAAATATTCATTTTGGAGTTTATGATGGATCTTAAGAATTTAACATAGAATAATGTGGTTATAATTTAAAAGATTTTGGAATACCTGATATGAAAGGATATCTTGCTCATAATGAATGCATTGAAAAAGATTGTAAAAAAGATCTTTGTAGACAAACTAAAATAAATACTGAATTATTAGTGTAGAAATTATAAGAAAATTTTCCTGTTGAAGAATCTACAGATCCAGGAAGATATATTTGTAATTTCATTTATTATTGTTCTTTATTAAAAAGTCTTGGTTGCCCATAATCAGCATGTTTATTTGTTCATTTTCCAGCATTCCGTACAATAGCATAAGAGAAATAGGTTGATTTTGTTGAAAATCTATTAATAACAATTCATGAGATGCATTAGAGTGGTCATTTGTATAAATGATTAAATAAAATTATGCAAAATATTAAATAAAGAAAACCTTATTTATAAGTTCATTTTCAACCTCTAACAGAGCGAATTGAGAGAAAGAAATAGACATTAATGAAGAATGTGTTAGTGAGAAATGTTCATGCTTAAAGAATTAAACGAAGCTTTAGTTTGCCACATAATTAAAGATTCTTGTATAGATTTGAAACTTTACCAAAAAACCTATGTCCATCTCGAAAAGGAACAGGTGAAGAACTTCAAATAAGACAATAATCTCCATAAAAAAGAGACTCATTGGTAACCAATCTTAAATTATCTTAAAAAAATATTGAAATGAAAGAAAGATAGTAAAGAAAGAGTTGTGATTGTTCATTATGTGGAAAAGAAACTAATTTTCAAAGAGATTCAATGAAAGATGGAGTTTTTATAATTTAATAAATAAAAGAATAAGAAGCTTTATCAAATAAATTTTAGAGAACATAAAAGAAATAATATGAAAAGTTATATCCATAATATTTAAATATGAAGAGTATATAAATAGAAGAGAGTGGTGATCCTAATAATGATTTTATTATAAATTCGTTTGAGCATCTAGAAGATGTTCCTACATAAACATGTCCAAATAAGATTAAAAGTAAGTCTAGCTTTTTCGACTTCTTTTTAATTAAATAACAATAGATTGTAGTTGATTAAAGGAGAAAATTTTCCAATCATCGAAAAAATTTTGATAAATTTCGTTCGATTCCCTTTCTCCCTAATGATTTTTAGAAAGTATTAACTCCTAGAACACCAGCCACAATGACTACAACTTTAGTTCCATCTCCAAGGAAATTAAAAGCTAATGTATAGATGTATCTAAAACCAATCAATAAACCCTAGAAATAACATAATAGATTGTTAACTCTTCCAGAGTTTAGATAATTTATATGAATTAATTTTTGATGATATTTTTATAATTATAGTTTACACTTAAAGATTTGATTCAAAATCAATATTAAATATTGATTAAATTTATAAAAAATATGAGTAGCTAGAGAGGAAACTCAAAGTATTTTTTTTTAGTTTTTATAAAGATCACCATCTATCAATAAGTCAATTAGGAAGCAGAACAAAGACTCTGATTCTAGTTCATCAGAGAAAAGGTATGGGAAATTTTGGAAACCTAATGAGGACACCTTGCTTTTAGAATTGCATAGAAAATATAATGGAAATTGGCGGTAGATTTCTGAAGAAATTCCTGGAAGAAATTTAAGTTAATGTCAATAGAGATGGAAGAGAATAAATCCAAATAAGGTAGTTTGTATGGTTATAGATTTTTAGACAAAATTGCGTAAATAATGGACAGATGAAGAGGACAAAAAAGTATTTGAACTTGTTTAAGAATATGGTCGAAATTGGAAGGTAATTGAAGGGTTCATGGAAGGACGTTCAAGTAAATAAATAAGAGAGAGATTTTTAAATAATTTAGACCCAGAGATTAATCGATCAAAATTCACAGCACAAGAGGATAAAATAATATTAGAATAATATAGAATTTATGGACCAAAATGGAGTGAAATTGCAAAGATGTTAGATAGAAGACCAGTAAGAAGTGATTAAAATAAAAATAGGAAAATTAAGTGAAGAATAGATTTTATTCATACATAAAGAGAGTTAGTATGTTAGAAGAGAAATCAGATGATGAAGATAATGATGGAGAATCATCTATATCTGAATAACCTCATATTCCTCCTCCAATATAAATTTATTAACCATTAGAGACTATATAATCAATAAAGGAGGAACATGATAATACAAAAAACGATTCTTTAAAAAATGAATCATTTATTAATGTTTAGAATCGTACACCTTCAAATAGAATTCAACCATCTATAAATTTAATATAAGGTTTGGATTCATTCGATTCAAAATAATTTGATGGGATTCATTCATAAGATATATCACCTTTTCATTAAAGAAGAATTTTGAATGAATATAGTCCAATAAATTTTGAATATGCAAATCATCATCCTACTTTCGATAATATTTAAGAGGATGTGAAAGAATTAAGAAGTTAAATAGAATGTATAAGTTTAGAAAAAATTAATTGAGAATTTAATTATTTATTTATTTATAATAATTTAAATACCCTATATAAAAATAAATCATAAATCCATCAGATTTTTTAATTTTAATTTCATAATTAACATAAAAATGAAAACTCGTGGATAAAAGACAGAACCCAATTATGCATATCAATTTAAAAAGGATTAGATTCTAGGATAAAGTGAGAAAGGAAAACCAGTCTTCTATAAAGTTGTGGAAGATCTAAAAACTAATGATCATAAATAATAATTAAAAGTAATAAGACTAGAGTAGCAGGAGAAATAAAAGGATGGTAAAATAGTTTACAAAGAATCATAAGAAGCATTATTATCAGTTAAGGAAAGAACGTAAAAAAAGATATTAATTTTTAGTAAAATTGTGGAAGATGTTGAAGTAAAATCCACAAAACCAAATCCAAGAAGTAAATCTACAGTGACTTCATTTGTATTCCCATAAGATACATTATAAGAGATAACAAAGAGCGCTAAACAAGTTCCCGCCAATGCTAAGTAGTAAAAGAAATAAGTGAGTTCTGAAAGTGAAAGTGAAGTAGATGAACAACCTCAAAAGTATACAATAAAGAAGGGAACAAAATAGGCTGTCAAAACATAGAATCAAAAAAAAGAAGTTAAATTAAATATTAAAAAAAAAGTTGAATCAGATGATAGTGTTGAAGAAGAAGAATCTTAGGAATAGGAATTACCTAAAAAATAAACAACAAAAAAGAAACAAACTCAATAAGTTGTTAAGAGTAATCAAAAAGGTGGTAAATAGGTAAGATTGGAAGAAAGTGAGGAGAGTTCTGAAGAATAAAATGTATAAGAATAAAAAAAGAAAAGAGTTACTAGATAAAATCCATCTTCTAAAAAAGATGAACCTCAACCACTTCCAGTTTAAAAAAAATAAGTTAAGAGAGGTAGAGCTTAAAAAAAGTAGGATTCTGAAGATGATGAAGATGCTTAAGATAATGAAGATAATTAAGTTCAATCTCATTCAGTTGATGAAAAGAAAAAGAAAGGTAAAGCAACTGATAAGAAATCTAAATCTTAACCTGCTCCACCAAAAAAATTTATGAGAGGTAAAGCTAATCCAAATTACAGAGAAATAAGGTAAACTAGTGAACAATTTGAAGGAACATCTTCAAAATTTAAAGATTATTCTAGTATGATGATGAATAATAAGGAGTTGATTAGAGCTGCTTAAACAGGAAATACTAAACTATTAGAAGATATTTTTGCTCATTCATAAAAAATTAGTAATCTTTTTTAAAGATGGGCTCCTGAAAATGATGTTAATGCTATTGAAATCATATTTAAAAGGTAAGATAAAGCTATGTTACTTTAATTTATAAAAGCAATTAATAAAGTAAAATTAGGTACTACACCTAGTTGTTCACTTAAAGAAATCTAAACAGGATATAATGATTAATATGCTTATGGTGCTAGAACTAGAAAGGTTGCTTTAGGTAGAGGAGGAAGAGAAGGAAATAATGCTTTTGTTTATGATTTGGATTAGTAAGATACTTTGACTGAATAATAAATTGAAAGATTGATGAAAATTGAAAGTGATCCAGAATTCTTTGGTTTAATGATGGCCTAATTAGGAGATGAATAACAATATTATAGTTAGATTGCTTTTGCAGTTAGAAGTGGAAATTGGAAGACAGCTGGTTATTTGGTTCAAATAGCAATGGATAAAGGACATATGTATGGATTTAATTAAGTTCATGTTGATGTTTTGAATTATACAAGTGCAAGTCGTATAGGAAATATAAAGAAACCTTCAGCTACAAAGAAATCAGGAGGTAGTTATTTAATTACTCCAATTCATTGTGCTGCTATAAACCCAAATCATTCATGTCTCTAAAAATTATTAGATATTTCATAAGAATATAATATTTTGGATGAAATTCATAGAAAGCCTGTTCATTATGCTGCTGTATCATAGACCTCAGCTTGCTTAAAATATTTAATGGATAATAGTATAGATGTTAGAGAAGGTGATAGAAATAAGAATACTCCATTGATTTTGGCAGCATAATTTGGTCGTACACATAATGTCTAGATTTTGGCTTCTAATAATATAGATGGAAAAAATAGAGAAGGAAATGCAGCTATACATGTTGCATGCTAAGGAGGACATTTGGAGACAGTAAAAGTTCTTCTAAAATAAGGATCTAAAATTAATTTAACAGGATAAAATAGAATGACTCCATTAAATATAGCTTGTGCATATGGTCATTATGAATTAGCAAAGTATTTAATAGAATAAGGAGCAAAAGTATTGGCAAAAGATAAATATGGAAGATCTTCTTGTGTTCTTGCTGCTCGTAATGGAAATGTAAAGATTTTATCTTTATTACTTTACCATGGAGCTGAATATGATTAACCAGACAGCTCTAAAAATACTCCTTTACATTATGCAGCTGCTTATGGTTTTCCAGAATGTATAGAAGAATTAATGAAAGCAGGTGCTGATTAAAATTTACCTAATTCTTGGAAATTGACACCCTTATCTGTAGCATTATAGAAAAATCATTTGGGAGTTGTTAAAAAATTGTTAAGTTATCCAACTACAGATGTAAATTGTAAAGATGATGAAGGTAGAACATTAATTTCTTCAAGTTTAAGTAAATTTACAGTAGATGCATTTGAATATATGAAATATTTGATTTTAGAGAAAAATGCTGATGTTAAGATTTCAGATTTATAAGATAAGACTCCATTACATTATGCTGTATTATTATCAAGAAAGGATGCAAAATAATATTATAAAAAATGGAATGATATGAGTAAAACAGAAAGAAGAGATATCAAAAATAAATATGAGAAACTAGTTCATGAGATGATTGAATTATTAATTAATGCAGGATCAGATGTTAATATTTAAGATAGTAATGGATAAACTCCATTCATTTAATCATTAATGAGTTAGAATTTCAAAGTATCTGAATTATTAATGAAATTAACTACACCTACTGTTAATTATGTTGACAAAAAAGATAGAAATATTTTGCATAAGCTTATTGAATGTAGATTATTTTTAAATGTGAAAGGATTTTCTATATTAGAAAATATCATTAAGTCTATAGATCCATCTTATGTTAATTAATATGATGAAAATGGATGGAATCCATTACTTTATTTATTTTCTGAATATACAAGTACAGCAGAAGAACAATATAATGAAATTTACAATAAAAAAGTGTCAACATTATAATAGAAATTATTTGAAGAGAAACTAAAATAATTGTTAGAAGAAGAAGAAAGAATTAATCAAGAAAAAAAACTTAAAAATAATGAATAAAATGAAGAAAATTAAAAGAAGAACAAAAAATAAAATGATGAAGATAATGAAGATGAAGATGAAGAAGGAGATGAAGATGAAGATGAAGATGAAGAAGGAGATGAAAATGAAAATGATGAAAATGATGAAGTTGAAGTTGAAGATCATGGAAGCGATGATGAAGATGAAGATAATGAAGAAAATGAAGATGAAGATGATGATGAAGAACATTCTGGAGATTATGAAGATGAAGATGAAGACAATCATCATTATCATAAAACAAAAAAAGTTAGTAGAGGATTACTTGGATCAACAAATGTATTTTCTAAACCTTAAGCAAATGCTGTAATAACTAAGGATTAACACCACACAAAAACATTCTATCATAAAAATAAACCAGTTATCGTCTTTTTAAAGTAAGATTAAGTTGATATATTGGCCAATGAATCTAAACAAGAATGTTGGGCTCTTTAAGAAACTGTAATTAAATTATATTAATTACTGATAAATTTAGGAGCAGATACTAATTCATCAATTATAAAGAGAAAGTAATATAGAGA